AGATCCAGCAAAGAGGAAGGAGGGGGACCAGAGACCAGAGTTGAAGGGTATCGTATTCGATGTCGACGGGACACTATGTAAACAATCCTCTTGTCCTCGCAGGTGGGATGATAATATACTAATGCACGACAGGTCTGCCGCAGAACTACATGTTTGCAGAGATGCGTGCCGCCCTCGGCATCGAGAAGCCGACTGATATCCTGGATCACGTGTACTCACTCCCCGAGAGCGAACAAGAAGAGGCACAGGAGAAGATCCGAAACATTGAGCGGACTGCAATGAAGTCGCAACAACCACAAGCCGGTCTCGTTGAGTTGATGGAGTACCTCGACTCGCGGGGCGTCAAAAAGGGAATCTGCACGCGCAATTTCGATGCTCCGGTTGCTCATCTCCTCACCACATTTCTGCCAAAGTCCAAGTTCAGCCCTATTGTGACACGCGAGTTTAGACCACCCAAGCCTGACCCTGCTGGCATTCTGCACATTGCCAAGGACTGGATGCACGAAGATGGGGGAAACAGTTTGATCATGGTAGGAGATTCCATCGACGACATGACGGCGGGCCATCGTGCAGGAGCCGCGACTGTTTTACTGGTCAACGACGTGAACAACCATCTCGCCGAGCACGAGCATACGGATCTTGTCGTCAAACGGCTCGACGATCTTATCGCCATCTTGGAGAACGGGTTCGAAGGAAGGCAATGACGGGCGTGTATAGCAAACAGCTTGAGCGACTGCCTTACCAGGAAGTTCGTAGTACTAGAGTGAGATAGAGAATTGTTGACCATTTCCTCAAGCAATGCTGTACTGCTACCAAGGCAACCTACAAACCACTCTTTTTCACAATCCGCGATGAAATTCGTCTCGACATGGTTTAGAAGGTTACCCGTACACTAGCTCCCTGCTCTATGACGCGCCGATTGATGGGCGGCGACTGTGTCTCATGCGACATGTTCGGGATGCAGTATTGCTTTTAGGAAGGTGAAGATGGGCCATTGATCCACCCAAGCTCCCCAACGCCACACGGCTAAGCTACCGCGTCAAGCTTTTGGCACACAACACCAAGCACACCCAGCCTTTTGTAAGCGTTGAGCAGCCCTAAGCCACTAGCGATATGCACAGGGGTGGCTATATGTGCTGCTATACCGATATGATCGAGCAGCAACATGCAGGCCCTTACAGTATCCTCATCCAGCGTCGACACATGTGCAACTCGACCCGTAGTATGTGACAGTGCTGCATACTAGTACATACATAGCTATCCGTTGTGTGTGTAATGTGTGTAACATGCTGGTCCATCTCAGTCGCACTCAGAAGAAGATGCTTGGGCTGGTATGGGGCTGGTGGTGTGGATCACAATACAGTTGTGGAGTTCGCCTTGTCACGATTAAGGCAGCTGTCTATCAGGATCCGAGGGGCTTGTTTCAAGACCCACCAATCCGCGAGACTCATCCAACCAAGCCAATGTGCTTGGCTATCTATTTATCTTGGCCAAGAGGCGGAGACCCATCGTTTTGATCCGGACTTGGGACTGCATATGGACCATGTTAATGATTGGGGCGGGTTGGGAAGATCGCCTGGTCAACTACGTATCTCGAGCCTTGGCACCTGAGGGTATAACTATTTGCCTTGCTTCGTGCAAACGCGCCTTCTTCACCACATTGTTGACTCCTGCATCAACGGAGAAGGTGTGTGTGAGGTCCTTGAGACGCTGTTGCTGTCTTGTATCACCTGTCTCTGTTCTCCTGTCTATCCTGCAGCATGAAGTATAACACCCTCCTTACCGGCCTGCTGGCTGTTACCCATGGCAGCGCCGTTTCCGCTTCAACTACTTCACATGTTGAGGGTGAAGTTGTCGAGCGACTTCATGGCGTTCCTGAGGGTTGGAGTCAAGTGGGCGCCCCCGATCCAGACCAGAAGCTGCGATTCCGCATCGCGGTCCGCTCGGTGAGTAATTGCTTTTGCGACACATGCTTAAATCTTGTAATGCTTTTTTACTGAACATTGTAGGCGGATAACGAACTGTTTGAGAGGACGCTCATGGAGGTTTCCTCTCCCAATCACCCTCGCTACGGACAGCACTTGAAGCGACACGAACTCAAGGACCTCATCAAGCCGCGAGCCGAGTCAACTTCAAACATCCTCAACTGGCTACAAGAGTCTGGAGTTGAGGCGAGAGACATCCAGAACGATGGCGAGTGGATCAGCTTCTATGCTCCGGTTAAGCGTGCCGAGCAAATGATGGGCACCACATTTAAGACCTATCAGAACGAGGCCCGAGCCGATATCAAGAAGATCCGCTCTCTAGACTACTCGGTGCCGAAGCACATTCGAGATGACATCGACATCATCCAGCCTACGACGCGCTTCGGCCAGATCCAGCCGGAGCGTAGCCAAGTCTTTAGTCAAGAGGAGGTCCCATTTTCAGCGCTTGTTGTCAATGCGACGTGTAACAGGAAAATCACTCCTGATTGCCTCGCCAACCTCTACAACTTCAAAGACTATGTTGCCAGCGATGCCGATGTCACCATTGGAGTTAGCGGCTTCCTGGAGCAGTATGCTCGGTTTGACGACCTGAAGCAATTTATAAGCACTTTCCAACCCAAGGCAGCTGGTTCCACGTTCCAGGTTACATCTGTCAACGCAGGACCTTTTGACCAGAACTCGACAGCTGACAGTGTTGAAGCCAATCTCGACATTCAGTACACAGCAGGTCTTGTTGCGCCCGACATTGAAACTCGTTACTTCACTGTTCCCGGCCGCGGCATCCTGATTCCTGATCTAGACCAGCCTACTCAGGACGACAACGCCAATGAGCCATATCTGGATTACTTTACATATCTTAATGATCTCGAAGACGATGAACTCCCCGAAGTGCTGACCACATCTTACGGCGAGAGCGAGCAGAGTGTACCCGCCGAATATGCAAAGAAGGTGTGCAATTTGATCGGTCAGTTAGGTGCTCGTGGTGTGTCCGTCATCTTCTCCAGTGGTGACACCGGCCCTGGCTCTGCATGCCAAACAAACGATGGAAAGAACACGACACGTTTCTTGCCCATCTTCCCTGCTTCCTGCCCTTACGTCACTTCAGTTGGCGGCACAGTTGGTGTTGAGCCTGAAAAGGCTGTCAGCTTCTCTTCGGGCGGTTTTTCCGACCTATGGCCTCGACCTGCTTACCAAGAGAAAGCCGTTTCCGAATATCTTGAGAAGCTTGGGGACCGCTGGAACGGGCTTTACAACCCCCAAGGACGCGGGTTTCCCGATGTTGCTGCTCAGGGCCAAGGCTTCCAGGTATTTGACAAGGGCAGGTTGATTTCGGTTGGAGGAACGAGCGCTTCAGCTCCTGTCTTCGCATCCGTAGTCGCACTCTTAAACAATGCTCGCAAAGCTGCGGGTATGTCGTCGCTCGGCTTCTTGAATCCATGGATCTACGAGCAAGGCTACCAGGGCTTGACCGATATCGTTGCTGGAGGCTCGACAGGATGCACAGGGAGATCCATCTACTCAGGGCTCCAAGCACCACGTGTGCCATATGCTTCTTGGAATGCCACCGAAGGATGGGATCCCGTGACGGGCTATGGTACACCTGATTTCAAGCAGTTGCTCACCCTTGTCACGGCGCCCAAGTATGGCGAGCGTCGCATCCGTCGTGGTGGCCTCGGTGGTCAGGCTTAGAAGATGTTTTTGTGTGGAATGTGAATGCTGAGCGACTTTATGAGGCTTCATGAATCGCAGGATAGGAACGAACCCTAGGTAGAACAGACACTCATGAATATTAATCCTATGATGGCTTTAAAGATTCTCAAAGTCCAAAACTCTCTAAACCAACGAACTGATGTTCTGTGCAGAGAGCAACCATTCTAATGAATGCACCTCAGCATAATACAGTAGTATTACGTATAAACTTTATTATAACCATGATTGTGGCTTACTTGCTCCAACTATCCCAACTCCGCCACATGCCAGACGCGCGCACGCGAAAGCCACATGCGGCAGTTGTCTACCGTAACAAGACGTAGACCACACGACCATACCGTTCATCCCCAACCTCCGCAAGCCTCGTGCGACATTTTCGCAACGGCTGCAGCTATAACTCGGCGCTACTAATCGCCACCGCCGAAACCTTAACGAGCTGCCTTATGCAGTTAACACGGCCCGCACCTTGTTTCTACCTAAGCAACACAAGCATTCGCTACGGTGCTTGATCCCCGACGTCGACGCGGCCAAATCCGAACTGAAAAAAAGACGCGGTCTACCTTCCCTCCAATCATCATGTGTGACGACCTATAACAATTTGCAGCGGGTCTGCGCATTGGACAGGCTGTGGCACTGCACCGCACTTCGGCTTTAACGAGAGAGATAAGAGTCGCCCGTCTTTTTACACACACACAACCAAAGAAGCCCCGTCGCCCGTTTTGGCTATCCGGGAGATACGAGTGGGCATGGCATTGCTTGGTTGTCGTGGCGGGGCTTGGAGAAGCTTTTTGTCGTGCTACTTACTTAGTTTGATCCATCGTTTTGTTTGCGCGGTTTATCACACGCGTACTAACACTCGATACTTCCACCGGTGCCTGAGCAAGACGTAGGGACATTATGAAACCTTCTAGAAGTTCTGGTCGTTATGCTGGATGAAAAAAATAGAGTTCAGTAGATGTTGGCGAGCACTTTTGCAAACGGCCAGTCACGCGTGTTGATTGTTAGTCAAGTAATGAGCAGAGTGAGCCGTAACTTGCCATGATGCCCTCGCCTTCCTAACCAGGTATAGAGCTGGGCTCCAGTTTTTTTCTTAACCTACTATCGCTCATACCTATTGGGATACAGGCAGATATGTGCCGCGTTATATCCAGGATAGGCATGAATGATGTCAGTCTCGCGCGCTGCGCCCGCTACTTGAAGAAGACTGCGCGCCCACTGCTTTGTCTCTTTCACGGCCATTGATCGTCGCACCTCGGACGTGACTAACACTCAATCCCCGGCGCCTCAACACCGAAGCAAGTCACCATGCAGCTTCTTTCAGTCATTGCCGTGTGCGGCCTCGCAGCCAGTGTCTCCGCTCGGAGCGCTCGTTCCGTTGGCAGGAAGGTGGAATTTCCTCGCCCTCGCGTCGGTATCCCGATGCAGAATGTGCACCCTCACAAGCGTCAGGCTGCTCAGATCATAAACACTGAGGCTTCCAAGGGTACATACACAAGAAAAAAGATGAATGAAATCAGCTAACATCATGTAGCCTTTGCTGTCAATGGCACTGCAGGAGCCATTCCCGAAGTCTACTTCGATATTGGCGAGTCTTATGCTGGTCTTCTTCCTATTAGCAAAGCTGCCAATGAGTCTCGTGAGCTCTACTTTTGGTTCTTTCCTTCGGAGAACCCAGATGCTAGTGACGAAATCACCATCTGGTTGAACGGTAAGCCAAGCCCGAGTACTATCACAAACTACCTCTAACAAACGATCCAGGCGGCCCCGGTTGCTCTTCTCTTGAAGGATTTCTCCAGGAAAACGGTCCTATCTCGTGGCAATACGGCAGCGGTCCAGGACCCGTCTACAACCCATGGAACTGGGCGAACCTCACCAACATGGTCTGGGTCGAGCAGCCCGTCGGCACTGGCTTCTCCCAGGGAAAGCCCACTGCTACTAGTCAAGAGGAGACTGCCGAGGAGTTCCTCGGTTTCTTCAAGAACTTTGTCGACACTTTCGGTCTGCAGAACCGCAAAGTGTACATTACTGGCGAGTCATACGCCGGCCGCTACGTTCCCTACATCGCCGACGCCATGCTGAGCAAGAACGACTCGACATACTACGACGTCAAGGGTGTCATGTTTTACGATCCCAGCGTAGCTGAGGATGGTCTCCTCACCGACATCCCCGCAGTCCCCTACGTCGACCAATGGGCCGGTCTCTTCAACTTCAACCAAAGCTTCATGGACGACATCCACGCCCGCGCCGACGCCTGCGGTTACACCGATTACATGGAGAAATACCTCACATTCCCTCCTACGAGCAAGTTTCCCACCCCAGCCAACAACTCCGACACACCAGGCTGTTCCCTCTGGCAAGACATCTTCGACGCCGTCTTCTACACAAACCCCTGCTTCGACGTCTACGCAATCGCAACCACCTGCCCTCTCCTCTGGGATCCCCTCGGCTTCCCCGGCTCCTTCGACTATCTGCCTCCCCGCACAGAAATCTACTTCAACCGCAGCGACGTCCAAGCCGCCATCAACGCGCCCATCCAGCCCTGGGCCGAGTGCTCCAACGGCGTCCTCGACACCGACACCTCCCCACCCTCATCCTGGGAAGTCATCCCCCGCATCATCGACGCCCTCGACCGCACCATCATCGCCCACGGCGAACTCGACTACGTCCTGCTGCATAACGGCACGCTCATGGCCATCCAGAACATGACGTGGGGCGGCCTTCAAGGCTTCCAGAACCCCCCTACTGACGATTTCTACGTCCCATACCACACCGATTTGAGCCAGACGAGTTTGAGCGCAAAGGGATTGATGGGCAAGACGATTACAGAGCGCAAGCTTACGTATGTGCAGCAGGCGCTTAGTGGACATATGGTGCCGCAGTATCAGCCCAGCAGCGCGTATAGGCAGTTGGAGTTTTTGCTGGGTAGGGTCGAGAGTTTGACGAGTAGGGAGAGTTTTACGACGCTGCCGAAGAGTGTGCAGAATAATGGGACGAGTGTGGGTGTCATGAGGGAGTTTAAGAGGTGGCTTTGAGTGAACTTCCGACTTCGTTTCTCTATAGGGAATTGAAGGGAGGTGTAGTAACGTAGTAATGTCGATATGTAAGATAATGAAAACAACACATGCAAATCATCCCGCCACATTCTCAACTTCCTTCTTCCCGTCCAAGCCCAGCACTCCTTCCTGCCTTTGCTTCACTACCTCTGGCACTTCGGCAAATATCTTGCTAATAGCCTCCACCGTCGTATTCCCCCCACTAAACACAACACCAACATTCCACCCCTCCTCCCCAGCCTCCCTAGCCACCAACCCCCTAAACTCCTCATTAAACAGCACAACCGCCAGTCCCACGACCGCAGAGGGCTCCACAAAACACTTCATCCTCTCAAGCACCAGCCGCATCGCCTTCTTAATCTGGTCCTCGGTCACGGCAAACAATCCCGCCACATACTCTGGTTTCGAAACAACACTCCAGTTGTGCTCGCCGAGCGGCGTACGCAAGCCATCTGCAATCGTAAGCGTCTTGACGGATGTAACGCGCTCGCCGGCCGCAACACCCCTGCGCGCATCGTCGCCGCCCTGGAAACTCGGTTCCGCGCCGAATACGCGGATGCCCGTGCCATGGAGTGCGGTTGCGATGCCGCTGAGCATGCCGCCGCCGCCACAAGGTGCGATGACCGCATCGAGTTTTTTGCTTCCGGAAGATGACTGAGCGATGAGCTTGGTAGCTTGGTCCTGGAGTTCAAGTGCCAAGGTGCCTTGACCGAGGATAATATTCGGGTCATCATACGGCGGGATAAGGGTGGCGCCTGTATCTTTGATTACGGTAGCGACGACGGCCTCGCGCTCGGTGCTTGTGGAGCCTGAGAAGTGGACAGTTGCGTTTTGAGCTTTTGTGCCTGCGATTTTCGAGGGTGTCGAGATGGTGGGCATGACGATGTGGGCGGGGATGGAGAAGGTGCGGGCGGCGAGGGCGAGGGCTTGCGCGTGGTTTCCTGTGAATAGAAAAAATTAGATTGGGGAATCGGTATTGGGAAAGAAGAAGATGTACCGCTACTATGTGTTACTACTCCTTTTTTGCGTACTTCGTCTATGCCTTCTTTCTCAATCAGGCGCGTAACGGCGTGGAAGGCGCCGCGGACTTTGAATGCGCCGATGCGTTGGAAGTTTTCGCATTTGAAGAACAAACTGATTTTTGGATGGGCGGGTTCTTGACCTTCCCATTGTGTTCCTTTCAGTGCTTCGGCTGTCTGGGGTGTCGAGGCAAGATTGCTCAGCGTGGTGTTGGTGAGCACGGGGGTATCATGGATGTGGGGTTTGATGAGAGCATGAGCGGCTTCGACGTTTGAACGCGTCAAGGAGGGATGGATTTGTGTGGACGCCATGATTGGGGGTGAGGAAAAGGAGACGAGTAGTTTGGGGACATGTTTATTTGAGTCAGAGAATGTATGCGGTGCTGCTTAGATATACAGCGGGGAAGATGGCGTGCGTAGTGGGGGAGGGTTGCCACGAGTCATGGCTGTGCCGTTGTTCCTGGGCCGATGACACGATGAACCCTTCTCCACAATTCAACCCCACACATAGTTCCCGACTACGTACGTTGTCGTTGTATTAAGGTGCAAGGGGTCCAGGTAGTGACAGGGTTACATGGTGCTAACAGTTACTTGACAAGAACGTGATCTTCTTCGAACCCCTCTGTAGAAACCAACCTTTTTGGGTAAACGAGGACGTCGTCAAATCTGTGCAACTATTCAGAAGTCTGTTTGTTTACACAACAATGAAAAATGGCCACATTCACCTTGCATCTTGATAGTCCTGTCGATTTTGCACAAAACAAAGCAAATATTTTAGTGAGATATGGAAGACATTTAAAGACTCATAGGGAGCCATGATTCAGATTCTGGTGATGTATGATCAACGTACTACTATCTCAATCTGAAAAGAACAAGATTGCCCAGCTAGGGACTCGGTCGTTGTATCCTATCTACCATCCATCAATCCATTCATTATCCATGATTCATTATCCATTATCCATCAATGACAGTCCCCATCCATCTGTGTCAGGTGCCGTCCATCAGTGGAAGTTACCACCATCAGTGGCAGTCACCCTCTTCTCGATGTTGAGAGCCTTGATCAAGTCAGGGTACCAGGGTTTCTGAGGAGAATCGGGAGTGAGGAGATTGCTGACGCGCACGTTGACTTCGCCAGCGCGGACGTTGAAGCGAGCAGCGCGATATAGATCAATTGCCCACTGCTTGTCGTTGTGCCGAAAATTCTCGAAGATGTGAATGTCGAGGACACCCAGCTCCGTGATGTTGTTGGTGAGAAGGCGGAGGGTTCGTGCACCAGGGCAGTATCGGTAGAGGTCTCCGACGGAACTGAACCAGATGACTTTGCGAAGCTCATGGCTGTCACGATCAAGGAAGGCGCGACGTTCAGGATCGAGAAGCTCAAGGCGTGAGTCCATGATGCCAATCTCGAGAGTGATGCGTCGGAGGGAGCTTAGAGCCCGCCTCATTGGGAGGAGAGGACCAAGGGAGTTGCCATGTTTGTTCCTGCTTGACTCGAATTCGATTGGAAACTGAAACATAGTCATGCCATAGAAGACAGACTTTGTGAGATCATGGAATTTTGACGAGACGCAGCACAAGTTGGCGAGCTGCTCAAAGAGCTTTGCCATGGTGTCGTAGTGCCGTCCATGGATGACACTACCGTTGTGACCGAGGGTGTAGAAGATGATCTTGCAAAGGATCTCTTCTGGCAGCTCGACAGAGCGGCGCGGAGCGGGCTCAATCATAGTGAGCTCCATGCTGGGGGGAGGCATCCTGCTGAAAGCAGATGCTTGAATTGAACTTGAGAAGAGTGGTTTGTTTGCAAGTATAGAAGAAGGGTGACTCGTTGCTTTGAAGTTGATGAGGTAGAGTGGAAAAGGTAGAGTGAAAAGGGGAGGCAATATTTATATGCGCAGGGAGACAGGGGTCTAGCGTGTTGACAGCACGAGGATGGCGCCGTGTGAAAATGAATGGAGACACGCAGACTTCCCCAGTAAACAAGAGGAGAGTGAGGAGCTCAAGAGAATGCAAGGTCCCTGTCAAATTTTGACTCTCACACTCGCTTCAGGCTGGTTTTTCCAGCTCCGTATACGTCACTCCACTGTCTTGGCAGCTCTGGCTCGTGGCATATGTCTCTGTAGAACTGGCATGAACCCTTCTGTGAGACCCCACTGGCTACAACAAGATCACTGGAGGCGTACCAACAGTGACTGTCCTTGGTCTGGTGGTGAGATGCTTGCAGTGATCCCCTTGTAAACAAAAGAAACGGTGCCTGAACAGGAGCAAGACTCGTCAGACAGGCGATCACCGTTTGTAGGGAAAACCCACTAAAGACTGGGGACTAGTGGATTTGGGGGTGGGGGTGCGGGGAGTCCCCGGGCCGCAAGTGAAAACGTCGAGTACTTGCTCGCTGCGTTTTGTGAGCCGTGCCCTAGTGGTACGAACAGAGTCGTAGAACAGACGTCTTGTCCTTGGCTAAGGTGGTAGAGCCAGTGTGTACAAGATATCCAAGAGTTCAAGAAAATATCCATCCTCACTCTTTCTGGAATGCTCTGATCGTAGCACGTCTCCAAAGGGAACGAGCTGTGAAACCCCCGTGTGTAGGCAGTAGTTTTCGGCGCTAAGTCGACTCATCTCCGACCACAACACCATCTATCAACAAAAGGCACCCACGGCATGAGGTGTCAGAGTAATCCTTCCTGAAGCAGGCTGAATTCTTAACAGGAAAATTGACAATCCACTCTTCCGGAGCCAAGAGGACGGAGAATCTATTGGCGAACGGGCGCCGGCCACAAACACGCAGACAAATCGAGACTCTGAGACGACGGAGCGCAGCCACTCAAATATGCAACGGCATTCGACCAGAGGCGGAATCGCTCGAACCGATACACCGAAACGAGTACTGGCATAATTGGAATTGATACCGCACAAGGTTGTGCCGGATACCGGGCAAACTCATCAGGCGGGGCTCGAAGATGTCCATTTCAGAACCAGGATATGCTCAACTTGGCCAGTGACACATCCAGGCTGTCAAGGGAGTTACAGGAGGCCCATTCGATAACCAGGATAAGATACTGTTGGCTTCCTCAATCGCCACGCGCCATGGCTAAACAACCCAGCAAGGGGGTGCCACGGTTTGCAGAAAACCGAGTATAACTTAAACAAGCTCGTCCAAGAATCTCTGGGAGAAACTCGAAAGCTTGTCACAGTCAACAATTGATCATAACGACGAAATATCATCGATATCATATCAACGGCTACATGAGAGGCAACAGCGCGAGACGACCAAGCTCAGTGGCATTGATTGAGTAAGGAATCCAGGGTTCGAACGGCATGCAAGGATCCAGAGAAGCCCTCGGGCGGGCCCTTCAATTCCAGAAGCTGACAGGGTCGCAGAGAACTCAGGGTAGCGTCAACAAAACGGGCGTTTGCAGTCGACTGCCGCCACGCTTGGAATTCAGAGATGATGTTTCTGGGCGAACAAAAGTCCAATGGGCAGTAGGACACATGTTGATGGGCGATTTACAGACAAGGGCAATGATAGGTTCAGCAGAGGAACGGTTCTGTTCAATATGGGCATGCACAGGAGTGCAGTCACCCACGACAGTGCTGAACGCGAATCTGCAAGATAGATTAGTTGGGATTCACGACAACAAGCTCTATATATAAAGTGCACATGGGTTAGTAACGCGGCAAGGTTAGAGGTTCGACTACGGGCAGCAGGCGGAGGTTTGTGGTTCGTGAGTGAGAGGAGAGAAAACAGAAGGGAGGAGGCTGGCAAGGAAATGACAAGGCTCTGGAGTGGCCCATGCACGCGCGCTAGTACTACTGGCAGTCACCCCGTTGCCGTTGTCCGCCTATAGCTGCGGACAATCACTTCACATCGCTCCAAAATAGATTCACCGCTTTGCATGCACATTGTCTCTAGATCTTGCCCTGTGATGCTATGACCAAGAGGTCTCATGCCAGTATATCCGCTTCGCATGCAGTGCCTCTGGAGCGGCAAGCATCATACGATGGCGAAGGCAGCGCCAGCCATGAGGACGGCGATGCGTCATCGCTGAAAAAGGCGCGCTCTTTCATGGCCACTCTGGTAAGCTAAGCTAAGCTGTGAATGGATCACGTGAAAGCGTAACTGACGCAGATAGGCCTGCGACGTATGCAGGTCGAGAAAGACTCGATGCGACGAAGACCGACCAAGATGTGGCTACTGCAGGACCATGAATCTCGAGTGCACTTACCAGGCACCGCGAGCAACAAAGAAGGACCAGTCCATGGCAGTAGCTATCAACGCCATCCGAAGGCTTGAATCCAAGATTGAAGATCTCACTGCTGCCATCAATGCACCCAAGGCTGCAGTCACGTTGCCACTTTCCCCTGCAGGACCCGTCCCGGACCATCACTCGCCTTATGCCACTCTTTCTCAGCCCAGCCCTGGCAGCTATGCTACAGCCGCGCCTTCAAACAGTTTGCATCGCAACAGGCTGAGCATACACGACATTGCAATGTCCCCACAGGTTGTTGGAACGCCAGCCAAGAGCCCCTTTGCACTCCCAGAAGCACAGGGCGCCGTGGATCTCTCCTTCAGCCAGCATCGGGTTGCCTTGTGGCCTGCCGTTCAACAAATCCTTCCCGAAGTGTTTGTCTCAGCACGCAAAGAGCTTCCCGAAGACTACATTGTCGATATCGAGAACCATAGACTGCCACTGCCAATGGGCATTAGCCATCCGTACAACACTAGTCCCGACAGTTGGTTGATGAGTCTCCCGCAGTCGGCGGTAAAAGGTCTCGCAGATGCCTACTTTGCGGTATTCCATCGAAATACACCTATACTAGACAAGTACCATTTCTTCTCAAGCACGTTGGGTATAGCGATGGATAACGAATTCGGTTATGAAATCGAGACGGCGTTGGTACTTGTTGTACTAGCGTTGGGATGCTTAGCCATCAAGGCGCATGAAGAAGGCAACTTTAGTCTTCCTTCTCGGCACTCTGCGACTGGGCGAGGCTTTGTTCCTCCCGAGTGGTACGAGCTTATTGTTGACGAACCTCCCGGCCTCAAGTTCTTCAATGAAGCCCGGAAGCGCTTTGGGTTTCTCATGTGCCAGACGGATCTGCAGGCTGGCCAGTTTTACATGCTATCGACGCTTTACTACGCCCAAATCCTGCGACCCTTGGATTCCTGGACTACGGTGAACAGAGCTGCCCTGTGTTGTGCGAGCATTCTCAAACGCACGTCAACGATCGATTATGAGACGTGGGAGGGGGATATGCTCTCGAGGCTCTTCTGGTGCACCCTGATGTACGAGACAGTGATTACACAGGAGCTGGATCTACTGCCTCATAGTGGGCTATTGGACTACGAGTCAGACATAGCTTTGCCAAAGTTTACACAATGTCCACGGCCTAAGACGTTGATTTCAGGACTACTCAGCGACGAAGATGATTCTCTGTTCAACTTCCATTTCCTTGCCCAAGCCGCGCATCGCATCATTCTCACTCGGGTGAAGCAGAGTCTGTACACGTTTGCGGAGAAGGAAGGCTACCCCAGTGCCAGTCTGACAGCAGAAATGCATCACCAACTCGAGCAATGGCGGGAAAATCTTCCACCAACACTTCAGTTCTCTGATAGTGACGATTCGAGCGACTCGGTCAGCCCTGCGCATGTTATTGCAAAGGCCATGCTGCGCAGTCGCTACCTGGTTGCCAAGTTGCACATTGGACGGCCTTTTCTCTACAAAGCACTGCATGCGCCTGCATATACCAACGAGTCCGAGTATGACGAAGTGCGCAAGGGCCTTCGAGGTGGCATGTATTGGCCGACAACCATGGGCCTGTGTACACAGATGCTAACGGCTCTGCCTATAAAGTTTGGGTGGTGCTGCCAGTGTTTTGGGCAGGTTCTGCTGTTCCACGCCGTAGCGCTGTCTCCCGACGCCAAGTTGCGAGACACGTTACCTGAGGGATGGCGAGAATGGGTAGGGATCATGATGGCATTGATTCAGAGCTGTGCAAAGAGCAGTCCCGGTATCGCAAAGGACTATGAATTGTTGCGCTTGCTGGACGGATGAGTGTGTTTGGGTCGGCATTACTCAGAGTCTATGTATAGTAGGCACTAACCAGAAGGCTGCGGAGCTGACGGACCCCTCAACCAGGATTGCATGCTTAGGGAATATGTACCGCGCAATTGGCCGCCGGACATGACTGCGCCATATTATATACGCGGTGCCACAATGAGCAGACCCTAGCCACGCGTGGCGTGGTAGGTAGTACAGTCTAGGCGCTTTACGGGGCAAAGATACGTAGTGCTGGAGGGGCACGGGGTTGAGTGGGATGTAGGCCTAGCGCCAATGGTATGTCCCCATTTGAGCTGGGTACGAGCGGCGGCTTGCGTGTACTCACGATTACGGGAGGCGCTTGTTAGACTTTAGCTAGCATGTTTATTTGAAATGGCACGACCTCGTAAATGAAAAAGGGGTCTTGAACAGGTCAGATAGCATCGGCTGAGTCCAGAGAGCTGATAGAGGAGCACGACAATGCCCAGCAGGCTGCCCAGAGGCCATACATACCATCTGCACTCGTAAGTACATGTGAATTCTCGCCTTGGATCGACAACTGGCAGCATCGCGCCTTCCTGGCGTTTCAGCCTTTTCCGTGCCGGCAGCTATCCCCGATTCACATACGCTAGGCCCGTCTGGGAACTAGTCGTCGTGCTGCATAACAAGGATACAAACCACTCTGGTCTGACACGCACTTCTCCTTTGGAAACACGACTACCAACAACTTTCTTACACTCCTTTCGTCTTCCTTTGCTGGCTTCTGGACTCGATTTGTTGCGTCTTGCTACCCTTCCACACCTCTTACCTCGCCATCCACCTCCGTGTTTTGTTCCTGGCATATTCCTTTTGCCCTAGCGCTGCCGTTTTCTGTTCCTTGTCGGTTTGCGCAACCTGGGTTGTTGTATCCTACCCTCTGTCGACTCGAATTCCCCGCAGCCTTCTGAATACTCCCGGAGTCTTCCTTGTGGCGCACACATTGCGCGTATCCCTTGTGCGTATCTCGACGCAGAAGAGAGACGATTGCGACATCTGCCGGTGTTGGAGTCGAGGCGACACCACAAAACCGGGCCTCTACGTGCCCTGAGGCGCTGCATGCCCACCTATTCTATCGAAATTCGAACAATTAGAGTCAATCATGAGTGATTACTCGTACCAATCGTTGGCAAACATGGGGCCGCAAGGCCGGTGGCGTCGTGTCTTGCTCGTCGCCATGGTGCCAATAGTGCTGGCATTCATTTACTACAGCACTCCCTCCTCATACATACCTGCAGGTCTTTCTTCTTCACCGTAAGAACCACTTCCATCCCGGTAGTCTCGACCTGGCTGACATTCTCTAGATACCCGCATACCCAAAATGTAACCCTTCCACAAGACGATCTAACAATGGCGACGATAATAAAAGCCCTCTATGGCCCCGTATTACACCCAATAGATGCCCCAGAGTTCACAGATGAAGATGGAGATGTATACCGGTTGCCCGGAGAACCGAGATTTAAGAGCAAGCTGGGGAAGAAGGTCCTGATTTTGGATATCGACAGTAGGCCCTTGACGGAAGACGGTCAACTTATGAACAAGCACTTGAAATGGAAGGGCATGCGGTCACTTTCCGCCGGCATGCTGGGTCACTACATGTTTGGTATGTATTCCCGAGACGGATGCAGGGCACCAATGGATCCATGGCACGGCGCAATCTAAGTAATGCCTTGAATGACCATATCCCCGCCTTTTGGTACGAATTGAATACCCACGCTAACATATCAACAGCTCAAATACACGGCTACGACTACAAGTTTATCCGCGCACCCGACTACGAAGACCGTTGGGGCACCTGGGTCAAGGTACCCATGATGAAAGAAGCCCTCAAGACGCACGAATACATTGTCTTCATGGACTCGGATGTCATGTTCCACTACCCCCACCTCCCCCTCGAATGGCTCCTAAACTACTGGAACATGACCGACGACACCCTCGCCATGATGTCCATCGACCCCAACGAGCCCCAAAACTACGACTCAAGGGGCAACCGCTACCTCAACACGGGCTTCGTCATTGCCCGCCAGAGCAAGCGCACTCAGGAAATGTACAAGGCTTGGGCCGAGTGCCCCTCGGAAACCCGCTACAAGGGTTGCGCCAAGTGGAAAAAGGGCTGGGCCCATGAACAAGCCGCCTTTGGAAACTACCTCCGCTACGACTACGATCGTCCAGATGATATCCGCGTTCTCCCTTGCGTCGAGGCTAATGGCGCGCCCGAAGCGGAGAAGAGAGGTGGCTGCAAGGGCGTTTTCGTCCGACATTTCTGGGTCGACAAGGGCCTTGTCGCGAAGAGTCTTGCCGATAACGTCATGCAGTATTTCCTGCCAAGACTTCACGAGACGTATCTGGCGTCGTCGAACGAACACATTGTTGATGCCAAGGGATACAGGCTTGAGGGCGCCGAGTTGATTGAGATGACGGATGCGGAGAAGGAGGCTGCAAGGAAGGGCAAGGGCAAGAATCAGAAGGATGAGGGATGGTAGTTTTTTTTTCATTTCTATCATCTCTGCCCTTCTTTCTTTCTCACTACTACGTCCTCTTTCTACATCAACGTTTTTTACCCTGGGTATGATATATGCTTCTTTTTTTTTGCAAAGGGAAAGCAAATGTGGCGGTTTTTTTNTTTTTCTGATGAGCAAATATTTTATAGAAAAAATAGGGAAAGTGGCAGACGGAACTATGTTTTCCATCTTTCTTTGTTTTGCATGTATGTACGTTCTTGTTTTGGGAGGTTAGTTGTGCGGCTTTTCTTTTCTTTTTCCCGGGAGTTTAAAGTGCTAGGATTTGCATAATATGTATGAAATCAATTGGGTATTTTGCAATGTCGAGAGTAGTAACAGAACAAAATTTGATTATGTGCTTGTGCTGTTTTCTGTGATTCATGGTTTGGATGATGTGCGGTAGAGAGGTGGTTCTAGAGATATCTAGGATTGGGGTGGTTCCTCATGACTTTGTACATGAGGTATCAGTTCAGCCTTCCATTCTCGCTGCCATGGTAGTGCACCATTTGCCCATACATGTCCTTCATTTCACCATCGAGTTTCACTCTTGTTCCGCGAATTTTCCTCCTGAGAAGTGAATCATAGTCTTCCCTCTTTCTACAGCGTTATACCACATGAAATGTCCTATTGTGTGACGCAGCCGCACAAAGTTGCTCATCATCTTGCCCTCTTCCAGTGGCTCCATTGCTGTGGTTTCGCTTTAGTTGTCTGACAGCTCATGACATGGCGCCTACTTTTTCGTTGCTCTCTCTGCAAGGCCGTTGATGATGCGGTTATGTTCGTCGCAGCTTGTTGTATCATATGCACAACGAGATTCCGTCTCTACAACAACCTTTTTAGCCTGCAGCACAAGCTCGAGTCCGCTTATCAACTTGTCCAAAAATGCGAAATGTCGCGGACAAGCGCAGCATTCGCATTCCGGCCCACTTTCCGTACTACTGGGAAAATTGTCGCATGTTATGGAGGTGTTGATGAAAAGAGTCTGCAGATTGTCGAGACGTGGATGTATTGTTGTCTGATGGTCTTGTACGGTTTTGGCAAATCTTGTAGCTTCGGCTTTTTCCTTGGGGCAGGTAAAGGCATCGGTACGGAAGTTTTTACTAGGTCGGAATAAGGTTACTCCCTAGCAACTAAACAGAAGCTCTTCTAAAGTAAAATCAACGTGTAATCCCAGACAAAGCATCATGTGTCGGATCTTCCTGGCACAAGAAGCTTTTGGCCAGCTGGTAGTGCAATCGAAATGAAGAAGGAAGTGTACTATGAAGACGTTACGTTTGTAGTAGGCTTCTTGTGCAAGAAGGGCCATGTTTCTATTTCTGGTTGCGATTAGAGGAAAGAGATGGTCATTTAAGCGCTTCTGGTGTGAATCTTCCATACTGGAGTCGTACGAAGGAGTCCCCCGGTAAATGTCAATACCTCCAGTAAAGGTGAGCAAATACGACAGAACCTCAAGCTTGAGCTCATTAGGAAGCTGAGGCCAGTCGTGAAAAGTGGTTGGCGCTCCCTGAACTACAGGTGACCCCTCGGCCTCGGAGGAGTCAGGAAGCGTTGCCATGGTGCGTTTGATGGCGACTCAACCGTTTCGAAGCTGTTGTTAGTAAGTGAGAGGTACTTAAACAGAGAATATTGAAGGCAAATTACTGATGGTTTCAGCTTTAGTGGATGTTTGCGGCAGTTGAGAATGTAGAGTGCGAGGGAACTGGTTGAGCTTTGAATGTAGAGTGTTAGAAGATGGTAAGAGACTTTGAGCCTGAGTGCTAGCGCTGCAGGTGAGACGAACGTGCGAGGGAAAAAAAGGGAAGGAGAGAAGGAGCTGATGCCTATTCAAGGCGAAGGAACTCTCACTCATATTCGTTGTGGCAGTAAAAGAATTTGGTCCGCGAATCATCAACGAAGAAAGATAGCGCTGAAGATTTGATTCGTCTACACGCACGTTGGATCTTCTTGTATACAGCCAACAAACTAACTTGCTACTAACAAGAATCTCATTTCCCACCAACATTGAACAGTCAAGCTATTTCCAGCGCCCCTAGCCACTACCGTCTCACTTCCACAACCATGGTTAGATACTACCAGCAACCAGTAGCAGTACACCTATGTGACATCCAGGATTGTAAAAAAAAACGACCTAAATATCACCGCATGCGATGAGACGCAAATCACTCTACACCAACATTCCCTCCGAATTTCGCATCTCTTCACAATCGAATCATGGGCTTGATCAAGCTCTCGCGGCGACGGCGCACTGCACCCAATCACGCTCGACTCGTTGAACAACCATTTTACGCATCGCTTTCTCGGCTTGCACATCTTCTACCATCACCGCCTCCTCCTCCGCCTGGTACATCGCCATCGTTTCCGCCAATTTTTCCGCCTCCTCCACCACCACCACCACCGGCTCTTTTACCTTCATCGCTTCCAGTGCTACCGGCACGACCGCCGTTTCTATCTTTGCCTTTGCCTCCATTCCTATGAAATTGGAACTACGTTAGTATCCCCGACCGAACGTGCACATTTTAAGTAACTCCACAAAGCACTACGGACATACCTGAGCGATATATGAGAGAAAGGTGAGGTGTCTAAGGAGCGCTATGGTTGCCACATCGGGATCTATACATATGCGTAATGCTACAAAAAAGGCTGCAACCACAATCCTTTTCCCCATTTCTCATTCCCCCCCAAAAAAATCCTGAAAAGACTTGTACGCGTACTTGAGAAGCCCGAGTAACCGCTCTCCTCTACACCTCGTGCTCAATATCCTCCACCCTAGGCACCTTGTGCAAACTAACCCCACAAAACCTCGCTGTAAGCTCGCACTATGTCGATTCGTCAGCTCAATCATCGCTTCAAACACAAAAAAAGTCCAAGCCCCAAGAGACATTTTGTACACAGCCTTGCAAACGGAGTAGAAAGGAAGGGGAAAGAGAGGGTGAAACATACACACTCCCGGATAACCTCGACATCCTCCTTCGTCACCCCAATCCTCCGCAAACCCCGTAGGTGCCACGCCGATTCACGAGTGAGATTCTGCATGACGATACCCGTCAGGACTGTGATTTCCGTCTCGATATCGTTGAGCACACTGTGATCAGACAGAAAAAGGCCGTAGGTGATGTTTTTTGTAAGCCAACCTGGGTAAACCCATACATATCAGCATTCCTCTCTTTTTTTTTGTTCAGCTAAAGGGTTATGATAAGGGAAGAAAGGGAAAGAAGAAAAGATTGCGGGGGTGGGGGACAATCTCACCAAAATCCTTATTAGCATCAAAAGCATTATTAATCTTGCCCTGGAGGTTATTCTGGTACAACCGTCCCAACCACGCTTCGCCGCGCTGCAAATTCGCTTCGTCGCATTGCCATCCTTCTCTGTGCTCGTCACCTTTTGCATCAGTAACTTTCTAATCGCTTTCACATAGTATTTTTTTTTAAAAAAAGAACCAAGCAAGAGAGAAAGGAAACAAAGAAAAGGGGGATAGTATATCATACCGTGTACTCGTCAAATCCCTATCCTCCTCCCTCTCCACCACAGCATCAATATCAAACACCGCTTCAAGCGGCTTACACACACCAACGATAATCACGAGTTTAAACAGTACCTCGCGCATGCGCCGCAGTAACTTGCGTCGCTCCTCTGCACTTTGGTACTGCGGCCGTGCAATAAGGTGTTTGTAGAGTAAAGGGGCGAAGTTGGGTTGGCTGCCGCTGACTATGGTTGCGAGCTATATATATATATATATTTTTCAACACACATATGTATGGTGATGAGGGGGGTTTGGTTCGAAGGGGTGCCGGAGGTAAGGAGAGGGGAAAACTTACAGCGAGAATATACCACTTATCCTCCCCAAGTGTCTTGGCTGGAAATTTTTCTTCAATCGCTTTGAAGAGTGCGAGGGCTTCGTCGGCGGTGGGGTCGCGGGGTACATTTGTTTCGGTGGTAGTCATCTTGATTTCGTATATTCAATCCTGCTTTTACTAAGAATCCCCTCTAGTGAAGATGAGACCACAGAGCTTATATTGTAAGAGCAAGAAACTTGGATGTAAAGAATACAAGCTCTTTTTTGGTTTTTGGCAAGTTGTTTGTCACGTTGTGGCTTTTTATAGGGTTTTGTTGACTGGGCCGAAGTTCGGGACTGCACGGGAAGGGTAGGGTACGTAGTACACATAAGCAATTGGGGTGGGGCGATCCTGACGCGCGCCGCTCTAAAGCGGGGTAGTGAGACTTACACTATATGGCTTTTGCGGAAGGGATGTTCCTTGGAGAAGGAAACAAGGCTTTTGTAGATCATGTAGCTTGTTTTCTTTGCAATTGTAGAGACACATGGGATAAGTGGAATGCGCGGAAGGTGAATATCTAAAATGGATACTTGCTTTGGGCGAGCTGTACCTAGACTTGAAAAAGGTGATATTGCATTTTGCACCTCAGTTGTCATACCCGTTGTAATCCAAAATCAGTACAAAGAAACACACTATATATTGCATGTGTTGGGAAGAACAGAGAATGTGATATTTACCATAGAATATAAAACATATACATCCCAAGCATCAAAGCCTAAACCCATCGTCCTTACTACGATATTCCGCCCCATACTGATTCTATAGTACGCTGAAGAAGACGCTAAAAATGAAAGTAGCAATATACCATCCACTGCCTTTACTCAATTTGGTTGACCAATATCCCAAGCGGGGTCAAGGATATCAGCGTTGAACCAGTCCAACGATGGCTGCGACTGGAACAACTGCCACATCATGTTATCGTTCCAGGAAGAATTTATCATCCCATTGTTTGTATCACCGTCGTTATTGGACAATATATCAGGGCCATGATTGAAAGGCATCGATGTAGGATATGGCGCCAAAGACGTGGTGGGATCCGGGGTTGGTTGCATTTGGTTGTGTGCACTTGGACTCCCTACCAGAGGCTTGCAAAGACCGAGAAGTGTTGCGCAGAGTCGATGCAAACGGTTGACATATTTGTTCTCTGTAACGAGCGACGAGATGCAATCAATCACATCCTCGAGAAGCTGAAAGTCGCGAGGGTCAGAGGTGCCAACCACATTGCAGAAGACGACAAAGAACGGACACAGAGGATGTGACAACAAAGTCCTATGTAATGTTAGTAAGCCGTGCATAACTCCAGATACTGCATCTTACCATGATAGATACGGGTCAAAGCCTTCGATGAAATGATCCAAGGTCCTTGCGAGCTGTTCGATCATCTTGACACATTCGAGCGCCTTCCGTGCACTCTGAAGACACTCTTCTCGCTCCAGGTAGTTCGTTGTGACAGTGGGGCTCAGCCTGTGAACAGATGTCAAGAGGGAGAAGTACTTGAACTCCATACTCTTGTAGTGGATAAGAGCATCAGTTCTACTATCCAATAGGTGCAATTGACGCTCCTACACAGTAATTAGTATCCTCGCACCAATCGCAACTCTGGACCAGGTAGGTTACCTTCTCCATCAGAATATATATATCTTTCATCTGAGCTCTTAACTGGGCTACCTCTTCTTTCAGAGCACCCGGCGATCGTTTAGTGCGCTGAGGGAGAGACAAGTCCAGAAGCTTGTCTTGCACAGAGACCAACTCTAGGACACTCATAGGGTTTGAAGGGTCTGCTCGCAGTTGGTCGTGGATTTTGATTTGAAATTTAGGAAGTGACCTCGGTCGAAGAAGCAACAGACTCATGGCACTGTCGAGCTCTGCACATTGGGCAACAACGGCGTAAATCTCACGCTCTTCGTCAGTCTCTGGTACTGTCTTGTCAATATTATGGTATCCGAGTGCTACAATCGTTTGCGATGCGTGAGCCGTGAGTTCCCAGCACTGTACAGGGTTGCCTATGATTTGCATCATGATGGCCTGTGTATGATGAGCTACAGAGTAATATTGACAGGGCCAGATGACTTACTCCTGTCACCAAAGCTTGCACTAGAAGGAGAGAGGGTGAGGTCATGAAGCTTATGTTGTCCAAGGCGGTAAGTGCGGCTATTATGTGATCGTACTCCATCTGTTGGATTTGCTTTTGCACTGCAGCGCTTTTGGGCGCTTGCAACTGGCTGGCGTACATGACGACAGCGGCTTGGAAATGGATTACAACCTTGTAGAGATTCAAGGTTTTGTCGTCGGCAGTGCCTGCCATTAGGGCAAGAGCGATTCTCTCAATGGCCTTGGGCGGTATGTGGTCGATGGTATGATGGCGAACGGCAGCTTCACTCCGTGCCTTGAACTCACCTAAATTGGCTGTCAGCCTGATAATAGACTGCGAGGCAAGAGAACATACTTCCAAGAATGACATTGACAATTTCGCGTTGGGAAAGGTCTGTGGAAACGTGCATGGACTTATCAAAAGTACTGCGGTCTGTCAAGTTTTGTGCGGGCGCGTGTGACAATTGATCAACAAAGGACATGGCAGTCTCAAGGACCGAGCGTTGGTGTCCAGATAGTAAGCCATTGGTAGAGAGCTCTTTGGTGATGTGTAATCGAGCTTCGTTTGCTGTTTGCGAAGTTGTGTCAACTTCTGGCGTTGTTGGAGGTATTGATACTTCTTGAGAGCTAGTTGTACGCTTCCTTTTTGCTGGTCGATCGGGTATTGCTTCAGTGCTTGGCTTGACAGAGGTGTTTGTCATATCAGGCTCTTGGGATGGATTGGGAGGACTGCGATGAGCGCCATGTAGAGAGTGTTCTAGAGAGGAGAGCCTCTGTACAAGCGCTTGTATTTTGTCATCGCTGTACATTTGTTAGAGGTGAGCATGAGGACTTGACAAAAGTCTCCACAGTGGGGCAAGCGCAAAGCTTGGGGTTGCCACTGCTGCTGCTCTTGCGCCAGATTCGGTGTACTACAATGAGCGTGGGGGACTTACGTCCGGACCTTGGGTCGGGGAACACGCTTGTGCCTGTTCCGCAAGCACTCGGCCTTGGCCGCTACACAGTTTGCACATGGCTCTTTGCGGTCGCATTTGACCTGACGGCAGTTAGTGTCGGGTGCAGGATATGGACCAGTTCCGAGACGGGTGACCAGCGTAGTTTGATCAAGGCGATGGTCACTCGGCGACTACAAGGGGGTTGTGGAGAGAGAGTAAAGGTACCTTTCGGGAATGGCACAAATCGCACGCGGGAACCCCCCCGTGAGCAACCCAGTTCTCTTCCGGCATTAAGTAAGCTGTTTCTCGACGTATGTAAATTCTGGGAAGAGTCCAGCCACAGTGACTACTTGGGGTGTGCAGAGTGTTTGAACTCGGTGGTCTTGGCAAATTAACCGGAGAGAAGCCGCTCCGAGGGCCGAAGGGGCAGGCACGATCCTTGCAGCCTCAAACGACGCGTTGCTGCTTCGCCATTTGGGCGTCGTCTCGTCAGCAGCCTCAAACTCTATCATAGCTTCATTAGATGATTTTGGGGCTAGTGGCATGGACATGTGTCAGGAAAGTGTCTTTTGTATGGGCCTTGCAATTTCTCCTGTAAGCACACACGTCAGGCAGTGCATCGTTGCCCAAAGCAGACAAGAAAGAGGGCTGGATTGGGAGTTGGCATTGCGAGGTGGTGCTGTGGTTAATCGCAAAAGAAAGCATATCAGTGGGAGAGTAGTGCATGCATCCAGGCACGGGGTGGTTGTGGCAGCAGCATGACGTGCATGCGGGTGAGTTGGCGTGTATATACATACTACACACACCGGTTGGGAGCAAGGAGGGGGCAAGGCGAAGAGGAACAGCAAAGGGCAGGAAACTGGTTTTAACCTGAACCCACCGTATTTCCGTTTCGAGACGAGAGGGATGCGCACACATTTGCATTGCACAGCGTCCCCACTGTGAACGGGTGCTCCCGCGGGCTAGCCCTGTTTGGCAGGAGGAGTCCATCCGACGTGAATGCACCTGGCCAGAAGTAACGGGATGCAGGGAGAAACTATGGGAATATGGCGGGTTTGTGGGATGAGCGTTTATTGCGCGAATGGCCGGGCGGGGGGCGGGCTGGATATGACGAAATATTCGAAGAGAGCACAAATACAGTACAGTCACGGCGTGGAGGGTGCGGGCAGAGAGCATTTTCTTTTACCTGATGGGTTCCACCACCGACCGAAGGACGAATGGAAATGACGGTGCCTGTCCACGTTTTCCCGAGCGCGGTCGGTTGAAGACGGTCTTGGCGGCGGGTGAGTCAGCACAGACGCGGCGACGACGAGGGAGCGCAGGCAGGCAGGGCAGGGCAGTAGGATATATATGTGTGTACTACGGACGTAAGTCGGTATGTAGGGAGGCATGTCGGCAAGTCAGAATCTGCGCAAGACTGTAGGTAGATCGGTACACATGGACGGAGCATGTACATAACAGGGCAATTAATTGCTGCCGCCGTGTGTCATCCAAGCAAGGGGCCGTGGCTGTGTGGCGCCGGGGGGTCAGCGTCGAGCCCAGCACTGGGGCGAGAGCGGGCAGGCTGCCAAAGGCAACATGCAGCAGCGTCACCGCTCCATGGCCGCCGGCGGGGGCGCATTACTTACACAGACTGCGCAGCCAGCAGTATGGAATCTTCTGCGTTAATGGCGCCATGTGGGCGGCCCAATCAGCGCCCACATGGCGGCTGGCAGCGTGGGGGACGGCGGCGTCGTGTCTGTGTGTGTGCATGTCGCGATAAGGCAGCGGCGGAGCCCACAACGTCCCGCCACCTGCCCTCGCGCCCTCTGATTGGTCCGCGTCTGCCCACGAGCCGCCATTCTTATCTCTTCCTCCCGCCGAGCTCACACACACCCTCCCTCTCCCTCACACATGCAACCCTCCAGCTTTCCACCCACCCACTACCCACCATATCCCCCCCCCAGCCATTGCCATGACAGGCCTGCGCATCCCCGGCGCGGGAGCTAGTTCGGGCCCAAAAGAAAAGAGTACCTGCACACCCGCCATGGCCCACGCCTGCACATGCTGCTGAAGCCTCCTCCCACGGACGAGTGCTCTACTCTTTTCGTAGCCCGCGCCCTCCCTACCATCGCTCCCTACATACATACATACATACATACACTCTACTTGCCGCGCCCAATCGCCCGTCATCCCTCGTCCACCCACGGGCGCACACGTCCCCGTCCATCGCTTTGATTGTGCCTTTGCCCACTCGGATGCTCCCGTGCGCCCCGTCTGTCCGCCTCTGAGGGTGAGTAGTGTAGTGGTCGACGATTGCTTATCTTGTGCTTCCACCCGCCCAGCCTGCCCTGCCCTGCCCACTTGCCTGTGCCTGTCCATACATACATATACATTAGTCGAGCCTGGCCACCCCCCAGCTAACTCAACTGCCCCCCATCTAGCCACACCACGTACACGCTCATTTCCCTCCTGCCCACTCTGCTGCTCTCCATCCCTCTTGCCGGCCTTCGATGAGCCGCCCGGTGCTTTCCCAACAACCACGCTACCATCACCACCGACCCAGGTCGACTCCCCATGTTCCTTGACAATACGCAACCTCCTACCCACCTGCCTGGAAACCTGGCGCCGGCCCAAGACGCACAGCTGCCACGCGGAGAATGTACCTTCATCCTCTCGTCTCCGGCCGACAATGGCGCCCGCCAGCGCTGCTCCTGCCGCTGCTTCTATCCGGACTCCATGGTACGCTCCCTCTGCGGCTGTGGACACCAGGCCTGGATCCATGAGGCTGAGCCCGCTTCCGCCGTCTCAGTGGACGCATACATGCACGCAGTAGACCAGATGAAGCAACTGCAGCGCGAAATCAGGCGCTTCGAGTCGTTGGAGCACGACCTCAAACAAGAACTGTTCCGCGAGAGAATGGCGCGCGAAGAACTCATCAGGACCAACAATGCCGTCCAGGCTCGTATATACCAAAACATGCAGCTCTTGAAGCTGTCCATGGACGACCGCGTCGAGGCCGTCGTGGATAGAACCACGGAGCTCAGCGACCAGATCAAGTTGCAGGGCGAACGCTTGACCATGGTAGACGAATTTAGCATGGAGTTGGAAAACAGAGTCGATCGCATCGAGCAGTTTGGCGATATATCCAGAGGCCAAACGCCTGCTCCTGCAACACCCAAAGCACGCCGCTCAACTCCACAGGCGCCGCCAGTGCCACCGCTGCCAGCTTTGATGCAAGCAAACCATACTCTTGGCCAACTTCCCATCCGCAATGACAAAAAATATCCCCTGTCGTGGAGCGCCCGCGTCATCTTTGTGCCTCGCAAATCGCAAAAGTTCGCCTTTGACCCTGACAGCAATGCGTATCGACGGTGTGCATCGCGCAAGCTGCACCAAAACATTGAATTCCCTAGCCAGGACAGCTCCTGTTTCGCAAATCACATTGAGACTGCCTTCAAGGGCGTCTTCCGAGGAAGACCATGGATGCCAATGACTGGTCACCGGCCCGCAGACGAGCCGTTTGGCCGCATGGCCCTTACGCTTTTGCCTCCCGATCTTGTGCACCGCGCAGTATGGGATTTTCCATTCCTGGAAGATCACTGCATCGCTCACGACAAGATGCAAGGAGATGTTCTCTACATCACTCTTCAATACGAGGACGTAACCTGGAACGAGATACGCTTCCTCCCTCCTGTCACTGGTGTCGACGACACCTGCTGGGAGCACGACGAGGAGCTTGACGGCACCGCCAAATACAAGAGCTTGGACTCGGAGATTATGTACGATTACCAGGACCCTCCTCCTACATATTCATCTCGAACTCACTCCATGGCGACTAGGGCGCCTTCGGGACTGGACGTCCTTGCTAACTCGGCTGCTATGCTGAGTCCTATTGAGCGTATTCAGACGGCATCGTCGACTCGCTCATCCAGGCCGGCTCCTTTGAGCCCCATCCAGCGTACGCCAACACGGTCGTCGGATCACTCCACCACCACCCCTCGCTTTTCATCTGAGCGGAGTAGTCTTCGCAGCTTTGACAACGAGACTACTGATGATGAGCACCGCGACAAGAAGCCCAAGCTGCGAATGAAGCAAAGCATGCCTCACGTCAGTACTGGCACCCATGCACAGCAGCCCATGTATGTCTCGGGTCGTTCAAAACGAAAGATGCCTGTAAGGGAGAAGGGCCCCAAGGAACCGCTGCACTTCAATGTCGCCGGCGTCGCCAAGGGCGGTCTTCACTTTCTACATCCGCGCTCATCAAAGGGCAAAGAAGTAGCTCATAACCCGTGAAAAAGAAACGATGTTAGTTTCTTGGAACTGACACGGACATGTTTTCTTATGTTCATTTGGTAGAGGCGTTTACGAGTAAAAGCCTCGCTCTTCAAGGATACCCATTGGCGTTGTATAGTATGAGCTCAAGTTTTTGTTTTACACGAGCGTAGTTTTGTTATTGTCTGGAGATTACTGGATATCGCACGTACTTGTAGTCAACATTGGCCGGGCATCATAGCTCGTCCTTCTTTTCTGTTCTTTTCTCAACTATAGACGGTTTGGAAGACAACAAGCGTGTCCTTTTTGTTTGCTTTCAGGCAGGCCTTGTGCTAGCAGGCAACACTACAAAAAACGCAATTCTACTTGTGCAACACACGACCCAGTGCCATCTTGTCTCCCTCGGCAAAATCCTCTCCTACCTCTTGGCAGCTTCCAACTTTTTGATAAGGAGGCATTAGCCTTGTCTCCGCATTTGCAACCTGCAATCTAAAGTCTCGCTCTATCCGGGAATTTGTCGTGCTGCTGTGGAGCAAAAGATTGAAAAGGATTACTGTGTAGTGACCAAAGCATGATAACAAATACTCTTGATTAATAGCCGCTATCGCACGCTTTCTTGTATAACCGAGGCACGGGGTGCTGATAACGGGGCCCCGCCCATTGAATAGTGCCAAGATAAGATGGAGAGGGTTTACCGCTCTGGAGATGTGCCAGAAATGATTGCATAGGTTTTTGTCATGTATCTGTGTGGCGTCTTCTTCGTGCGCCGAGATATCGGTGCTGCATGGCTGATCGGTTTGTTCATTTCGTCGCATACATTGTAGGCAGTACTGTTCCATAGAAACATAGAAAAATTAGTGAGAGAAACGTCACAGTCGAGATCTGGCATAGCTACGGGACATGATGTTCCTCATTTGTTGTTGTTCGAGACAGAGCCACAGCGCCTTCTCCAACTCTTCGTCCACGTCCGTGATGCGGAGAAAGGTAGTATCAGTGGAGCCCATACCGCCTACCCCACCTCCACTCCAACCATATCCACAACCATCAACCTCTTCAGCCTTACACACCTACCAACGAGGAAATTCCAACACACTTGAGAAAAAAATCAGCTAGTGCGCAAAATATAGCTTGCGCCTGCAAACAGACAAACTAATAAGCGACCCTATGGTTGAAATCGCCAGCCCTCTCTCCGAAATCGCTTCCCAAAGCGGCCCGTTTCTTATCATCTGCTAACCCTTTATCTCCGCTCCGCATCTCATCCAACCCCAAACCCCTTCTGATCCCTACACGCCGATCCCGCCTTGAACGGTGCAGCAGCCCCCCGAACCACTCACAGCAGGTGTACCACAAGGGTAACATAAGCGGTATTGGTCAAAACCTGGGAAGGGTTACGTCGCGGCAAACATGTGGCTGCACAGGGATTGAGCTTAGCGGATACACCAGGGCAGGCGTGTTGATGTAACTCCACGGCAAGAAAGGTTGTATGACTGACTGACTAGCAAGTTGGATTGGATGATACGGATGGTGGTCCGATCGGTCGTACAAAAAGGTTGCTGCTTCCCAATGTCTTGATTCTTTTCTTTCACTCGTCGCGTCTCGTGGTGTTCTTCTTCCTTTTCCAGTTCATTTCCATCCCTACCTGTTGGACCCTCGTCTCGAGGACAACTTGAGCTCGCATCCTACAACCCCGCCAGTTCAACCGCGCAGGTCGAGAAAACAACTATGTCGGAGAACCAGGATCCGGAGTTGGCCAAGGGCGATGGCCTTAAAGTTACTGCTTCGGCTTCATCGTCTAAACATCCGGTTCCTGTCGAAGGCACAACACAACACCTCCCCACCTACGAAAACGAAAAGGCTCTAACATGGAAATTCGATATCCGAGTTTTGCCTATGCTCGCAATTATGTACCTGTTTAATGCTCTTGATAAGGGGAACCTAGGAAACGCCAAAACAGATGGTATGGATAAAGACTTGCATTTCAAAGGGAATCAGTATAATATCATGCTGAGCATTTTTTACGTGCCATACGTAATTTTTGCACCCCCGGTCGGCATGCTAGGAAAGAAGTACGGCCCGCACCGTGTTCTGCCAATTATGATGTTTTCTTTTGGCAGTGCGACGTTGTTGGCTGCCAGTGTGCAGAATTGGAGTGGCATGATGGCGTTGCGATGGTTTTTGGGTAAGTCACGTGACATGTTAATTCACAAGTTCGAGCATATGAATGTTCACGAACTAACTGGATAAAAAGGAATGGCAGAAAGCGCCTTTTTCCCTCTGGTTATCTACTACCTAACCACGTTCTACCGCCGTGGCGAACTCGCACGACGCCTTGCTATCTTCTACGCTGCCTCGAACATTGCGAATGCGTTCTCTGGACTCCTCGCTTTCGGCGTATTCCAGATTGAGTCGAAATTAGATTCCTGGAGGTATCTATTCATTATTGAGGGCTCGCTCACAGTTCTCTTTTCGTTCTTCGCATACTGGTATCTCCCTAAGAACGCATACGAGGCCAAGTTTCTCAATGAAGCGGAGAAAGAATTGGCATACACCCGTATTCAGATTGACTCTTCGTCCGTCGTCAACCAAGAGTTTAGCCTGAAAGACGCACTCGGTATTTTCAAGGAACCGTCGACATATGGATTTCTCCTCATCGAAATCTGCCTTGGTGTACCCTTGCAATCGGTGTCGCTCTTCTTGCCACAGATTGTGGGCAGATTGGGCTACGACAAGATCAAGACGAATCTTTACACAGTCGCACCAAACGTCGTCGGTGCCTGTGTTCTCCTCATCCTGGCCTTTGCCTCGGACTATACGCGTCTTCGGTCACCTTTCATCGCCCTCGGCTTCCTCCTGACTTTCATCGGCTTCATCATCTATGCCACCATTGATGTCGAGCATTCGCTTACTGTCGCCTACTATGCCTGCTTCATGATGACGTGGGGAACATCTGCACCCTCGGTTCTGCTCTCCACATGGTACAACAACAACGTCGCAGACGAGAACAGACGTGTAACACTTACCTCTGTTGGTGTGCCGCTAGCAAACCTGATGGGTGTTGTTAGCTCGAACATCTTCAGACCTCAGGATGCGCCAGCGTACATTCCAGCTCTGGCTACGACGGCGGCGTTTGGAGCCACAGGCTGCTTGTGTGCCGCGCTGTTGGGCACGTACATGATGATTGACAACAAGAGGAGGAATGCTCGCCAGGGCGTCAATCTCACCGCCAGAGACGTATCGACAGAGAAATTGAGAGATGGACCAAAGAACCCCGAGTTCAGATGGTTCTTGTAAAATTTGCTTATGGGATTCAATGGGAAAAGTTTCAATTGTGAATTATTTAGACTGAACGTAGAATCTATTACGCAAAGACAGGTTGTTGTACATTTGGACAATACGGTGTAAAGAAGAGTGCTGTATGTCGAACAAGAAACCCTGTACATGGAGAGCTTGAGCCAGGGGACGGAAATGCTCCTGAAGCCACCGTGCCTGACATGGTCACGCGTCCCCCGGTTCCCCGAATAAGCACGAGACAAGTGCGGAGGCTAGCGCACCATTGTGTCTGCCTTGCCGCCAACTTGGCTCAGCAAGTACGGGATGGGAAGCGTGGAATGGTTGAACATGATTAGACTATATGATATACAGCTACAAGAACATGGGTAATCGTTGATGAATCGACCATACATGCAGCAGCTGTAAGTAAGCATCAGTCCTGGAGGGATCGCCGGGCTCAGCGTTAGCGCCATCTCTTATCGCCGAGGCTGGTGCGGCGGCTCCTACATCATTCGTCGCGCAACCTCACGCGCCTCACTTGCGGCCCCGAACCATCACGGGTCCCAGCTTGGAGCTTAAAGCTGCCTAGTACCCTGTTGTCGCCTAGACTATCTATACTCACTCCTCTATCCATCCTTCTTCCTCCATCACTCCTGCGCTCAGCGCTCTTCTGTCCTTGTAAGCAACGACTGATTACGTTGCGTCCGATACGCATCCGATTACTCCACGAGCGTTCGTGAGCTCTGGGAGCTCCAACCCATCTTCATCATGGCGGTCAAAGCAGCGGTGCCATTTCTCGTGGCGATGATGCTGTTGACAGGTGTATGCAATACACTGTTGACAAAGTATCAAGTATGACGACCCCCCCTTGCCATGAATCAATGAGCTGGAATGCTGACACCTATGACTAGGATATGCAATGCGTCAAGAACTGCGACTCGCCTTCACCGAAATACAAGGAACACTTTGAGCAGCCTGTTCTCCAGACGCTGCAGATGTTTATTGGAGAGATGGGCTGCTGGCTTGTCATCGGCGCGTTCACTCTCTACCAGCGATACGCGACTGCGAAGGCAGGCTACGAACCCGTTCCTGGCTCGGCTACCCCGGCTCCAGATGATGTTAGCGAGACAACTCCTATTGTGAACCCGTTGAAGCCTGCGCATCCCGACGATGAGGGTAGGATCCCGCTGCAAGGAAAGAGCATCTTCCTGTTGGCGCTTCCGGCGTGCTGCGACATTGCTGGAACCACCCTAATGAACGTTGGACTGTTGTTTGTCGCAGCCAGTATTTACCAGATGACCAGAGGCGCGCTCGTGCTCTTCGTTGGTCTGTTCAGTGTATGGTTCCTCAAGCGTCATCTCGGACTGTACAAGTGGTTCTCGCTCTTCGTAGTCGTGACGGGTGTTGCAATCGTCGGACTCGCTGGTGCCATCATCAGGGATGACAAAGCGACGCCTGGCCATAAGTCGATTCATGATTCTGTTGCTGGATCAGAGGTTAAGACGGCTGCTTCTCAAGCTGCCATGACCGTTATTGGTGTGCTGCTTATTGCTGGCGCTCAGATCTTCACTGCCACCCAGTTTGTGCTCGAGGAGAGAATCATGGAGAAGTACTCCATGGAGCCCATCAAGGTTGTTGGCTGGGAAGGTGTCTTTGGATTTCTTGTCACATTCGTTGGCATGATCGTTTTGCACTTGACCATTGGAACTGGATACTTCAACGCCAGGGAGGGCCTGTACCAGATGTTCCACTACCGCGCCATCGCCGTATCCTCGGTACTGATCATGATCAGCATTGGGTATGTATATTTTGTCTCCTCTGGTGCGATATCCACTAACTTTGTGCAGTGGCTTCAACTTCTTCGGTCTCTCCGTTACCCGTACCGTCTCTGCTACTTCGCGCTCGACGATTGATACTTGCCGCACGCTCTTCATCTGGATTGTGTCGCTAGGACTTGGCTGGGAGACATTCAAGTGGCTGCAGGTTCTCGGTTTCGCTCTGTTGGTGTACGGAACCTTTTTGTTCAACGACTTGATCCGCCCACCGCTAAAGGCGTGTGTGGAGAGGCACCACGAGCCCCTGCTACCTGAGGAGCCGATCGAGCACCACTAGTTTGGGCGATGCAAAGTAGACGGGTAAAGACGCATTGTGCATGTGGGACTTGGAGGGTGGCATTTTTCGGGCGCACTATCAGGAATCACAGAATGTCTTTGTTTTAGCACTAGTTAACTATATTAAACATATCATATCATTAGCCACAAAGTTGCAACCAGTTTACTGCTCTGCTTGTCTGCATGTGGCAGGGCAGACCGTGGCTATCTTATCAGGTCTGTGGCTGGTGACATATGTGGTCCGAGCGTTGCTTAGCGCGCACTCACCTCGCTAAGGACGTCGATTTCGTATGTGAGTATCTCGACTTCGATAACAACGGCTCGACTTTTCTGAACACCCACGCCCGGAGTTCAGTTACGCCCATCGACAGTTCGACAAAATGGCCACCACTCAAACCGCAATGTGAGTATCCCCGCTCGCCACCGCGGCAGCCGAGCGCGCAATTAGGAATGGCTACTGACGGCATGCAGCTCCAAGAGGAGAAAGTTCGTTGCTGGTACGATATACCCTTTTCACAGTCAGAGGATGGAGAAGAAAGAGATTGGAGAGAATCAGAGGCACAGCTACGTTGAGTCCTCGCTGCCAGGACTGTAGTGTGTCTGATACGAAATGGTCGAAATAGTGCGCACACAGAAATAGTTGGCTAACTCAACACCCACAGACGGTGTTTTCTACGCCGAGCTGAACGAGTTCTTCCAGCGCGAGCTGGCCGAGGAGGGCTACTCCGGCGTCGAGGTCCGCGTCACTCCCACTGTTACCGACATCATCATCCGCGCCACACACACCCAGGAGGTTCTTGGAGAGCAGGGTCGCCGCATCCGTGAGCTCACCTCGCTCATCCAGAAGCGCTTCAAGTTCCCAGAGAACTCCGTCTCCCTCTACGCCGCCAAGGTCCAGAACCGTGGTCTCTCCGCTGTCGCCCAGTGCGAGTCCCTCCGATACAAGCTTCTCAATGGTCTTGCCGTCCGAAGGGCCTGCTACGGTGTGCTGAGGTTCATCATGGAGTCTGGCGCCAAGGGTTGCGAGGTCGTCGTCTCCGGAAAGCTCAGGGCCGCCCGTGCCAAGAGCATGAAGTTCACTGTATGCATCCTTGTTGTCGTATTTTTAGGACTGGCATGCTAATAAGCGCAGGACGGATTCATGATCCACTCCGGTCAGCCCGCTAAGGACTTCATTGACCACGCCACCCGCCACGTCCTCCTCCGCCAGGGTGTGCTCGGTATCAAGGTCAAGATTATGCGCGGCTCCGACCCCGAGGGCAAGGCCGGCCCATCCAAGTCTCTTCCCGACGCCGTTACCATCATCGAGCCCAAGGAGGAGCAGCCCGTTGTCCAGCCCATGTCGCAAGACTACGGCGCCAAGGCCATTGCCGCTCAACAGGCAGCGGAACAGGCCAGGCAGGCTGAGCAGGGCGAGGGCGAGGCCCAGCCAGCTGGTGAGGGTTACTCTGGTGAGCAGTAGGTTTGAACTTTACTGCGGGCGCAATGAGGTTACGAAAAAGGCATTTAGCGAAAGGTTATGATGCCGTTACGAACCCTGACATAAATTCCTTTGCACTTTCGGAACGGGCTGGGCTGTTTTTGGTAGGGAGGGAATAAGGAGTCTCTACTGCTTCACTGCTATGTACTCAATGAAACCACCCAAATATCAAAGATGGCTTTGACCAACTGAAGGCATTTCGTCGCATCGCATTTGTTTGTTCTTTTACATTTCTTTATGGGTTGTCGATTCGGAAAAGTTATAGTTGATGGTGTTTCCTAGTCATGTTCTCTTTACCCATGTGTCGCGTCTCATGCGTTGCCCCATCGGGACATGATCCCGGGTCTTGAGTTCGGAGTTACTACCCCTCTTCCCACGATACCTAGCATGTCATCTGTTTCGAAACACTGCAGGTCTATACAGTGGGTCTTGTGACACTAGGTTTAATTGGCGGAAGTAATGTTCACGACACTTTATTTTCGGGTCTTTGCGACATTCTAGAGCGTGATGTGATCAAAATAAGGCAGGCGGATCACCAGTGTCAGCCGTTTGTCCCGTTAGCTATGTATTACAGGAGCTCAAGAAGTGGATGTCCAAGCATTGGAATATATATACTGAGCATTATCCTGTGCGCGTAAGAGTTTGTTCTAACCCAAACCCTTCACTCTCTCTCTCTCTCTCGCACTCTTGACGCGAACCGCCCACGATGCGTCTCACGCGCCTGATCTCGACGCTGCTTTGCGCCAGCAACACCGTCCTCGCAGCGCTCCCCTACAAAGGCGTAGACTGGTCCTCTCTCCTCGTCGAAGAAGCCGCCGGCAAAAAATACAAAAACTCAGCCGGCACCGTGCAACCCCTCGAAACCATCCTCAAGTCCTCGGGCGTGAACACCGTCCGCCAGCGCCTCTGGGTGAATCCCTCGGGCGGCACCTACAACCTCGACTACAACCTCAAACTCGGCAAGCGCGCCCAGGCCGCAGGCCTCGGCATCTTCCTCGACCTCCACTACAGCGACTCCTGGGCCGACCCGGGCAAACAAGTCACACCCGCCGCATGGCAGAGTCTCAACCGCGAAGCCCTCATCAAGCAAGTCTACGACTACACAAAAAACGTGCTCGATACCTTCCAACGCAACGGTATTCCCTTGAAACTCGTCTCCATCGGCAACGAAATCACGCCCGGTCTCCTCTTCCCCATTGGCAAATTATCAGGTAGTTCCCAGGGTCCCGCCGCCAATGTCGCTGCTATACTTAAATCAGCGAGCCGTGCGATCAAGGAGTCGAGTATGAGTCCCAAGCCTAAAATCATGATTCATCTTGATAACGGCTGGAATTGGGAGACGCAGAAGTGGTGGTATGATCTTGTGCTTGGATCTGGTGGCGGGCTTTCGCTCTCCGATTTCGATGTACAGGGCGTGTCGTATTATCCGTTTTATAATGCGGCGGCTACGCTGGCGGCGGTGGGGTCGTCGTTGAGTAATATGGCGAGCAAGTATGGCAAGGAGGTTATGGTTGTTGAGGTATGTTGTGTTGCTCTTTCTACGTTGACACCTTTTGTGGGGGGTTTTCCTTTTTAACTTGGGTTGCTAACTTGAGGCGTTTTAGACTAACTGGCCGTCTTGGTGCCCCAATCCAAAGTATGCGTTTCCTTCGGATACTAAGTCTATTCCCATCTCGGTGGATGGGCAGACGACCTGGATGAAGGAGGTCGCCAAGCGCGTGGCTGGTGCTTCGGGCGGAAAGGGTACGGGTCTTTTCTACTGGGAGCCTGCGTGGATTGACAACGCGGGCCTGGGTAGCAGCTGTGGATGGAATTTGATGTTTGGTGATGACGGCAAGGTCATGAACAGTTTAGCCGTATTTGGACAAATCTAGATTCTTGGACTGGAGGCGAGAAGTGGGAAATGAGGAAGAGACGAGAAAAAGGATTCAGTGTACATATTTACTACAAGTGACGTACATACATACCACCAGCGGAACAAGACGAATTGCACCGCTTTACTGGTCAAAGTTCTTGACTGCAGGCATCATGCCCAAACCTTTGCCTTCCTGCTGCTTTTGGCCTTCGCCTTCAATCACACCGCCTGCCTTCCTTTCATTGACATGCTTCCTGAGTAGACTAAGAATCTCACTGCCCTTCCACCTGGTGGGAACAGGTCTGTACGCAGGCTTGAAAGTGCCCACAGTCTGCGCCCATTCGCCCTCTCCAGGATCCCTCTTGCGCTCGTCCTTTTCTGGCAACTTGGTCTGCGTTGCCGCATCCAAGCCCTGTGCGTTGGAGGTAGACAAGGTCGAACCGCCCCCCTCGGCTGTTTCGTGCGATGTGGGAGTGGGTTCTTGCGTTGCCCAGTAGTAAATGTCCCAATCGTTTTCGTCCAGGAAAGTGTCGTATTGCTGCATGAGAGAGGGAGACATGGTGGCGAGATGAGCATCGGCGAAGGTGCTGAGCAGGAGGTCACTCTCTAGTGTTCCCCTTTTGCGGCTCTGGTCTACTTGACGTTAGCCGACATTTCCAATAATGCATCGTGGTGCCTTGAACATGAGCAAGCATCATGTGAAGCACGAGCCGGGGAATCGTAGGAACCGACATAATAATCTTGCACGCATCGTGTTTGCGTCCTCACCCGTCCGCTTCAGCGGCTCAACCTTGAATTTGGCGCCTTCCATCTCGCCGACACCCAGCTCGCTGTTGGTTCCACTCACATCTTGAGCCTTGCTACTCTGTGTGCCACCAGTCATGCGCTCAGTGTTTTCGGGTGAAGAGTCCTTTGGCGCAAACTTGTCGTCCACCTGAGTGATCAACTCTGGTGGGGCAGAGTCCTTGCCAACAGAGGGCATCTTGTTGGCAATGGTCGAGGTGGAGTTGGTCAAGTGCGGGTTCAGAGGCTTCTCAATCTGGTACTTGCGGTAGGTTTCCGAGGTGTCGTTTGTGCGCTTGTTGAGCGCATCAAACTCGCCATTGCGGAGTGGAGCGATGCTGAAAGTGCGACATTGAGTGCGCTGGAGCGTGAGAAGAGCTCGCGACGAGCGGGTGACAATCCTAGAAGACGCCATTGTAATGTGTATCGAAAGAGTACGTTGAGAAGCGTCAATTGCACTTTACAGTAGAGAGATAGTGAGGTGGGCTACCGAGGACGATGGAAAACGTCACTGGTCCGAGCTCTTGGATTACTAACGCGAATATGATCCCTGCTGATCGGTTTAGAGAGTCTATTACTCTTACACATCGCCCAATAGCATGTCTTCATCAGAATTCGGCATTTATTCTGATGATTTTGTTAACGACACTCTATGCGATTGATATTCAGGGTGTTTCTACTCGAAACCATGTTCCCCGAAATTAAGTGTAAATCTTCGCGAAACTCAGATGCATGACAAAATTCATCGGCACATGAAAACTAGCGGCGCTCTATCTGTCTGCATACATTGTACATTGTGCACTGTGAATTGCTTTACGTAGGGCGACACAATCTGCGCCAGCACCTCGAATTCGCCAAAGACAACCTACAAGAAACATGTGCGGGTACAAACATGCTATGCATGCGGTTCATGGGTTTGAACGCGTGCCCGTTTTAGCTGATGCATAGTAACGACGCTTTTGCCTGATCAGCGGCAATATCACCGAGTTATCCTCGAAAGCACATTAATGAAGTGGCAATATCCGCTGTAAACTCAATACCACGAAGTTCATTGGTCTCTAATATATCGCTGAACGTACATATCAACAAACTCAACCTAAATCCAACCAGTCGGATCAAGCCACCGCAACTTAAATTTAATCGGCGATCCAGTGCACGCACACATGTGGACATAAGATGCAACTCCAAGTTCTAGACCCCCAGCACCAGGAGTGCTATTGCGAGCAACTTCATGCATCGCCCCCTACCCCTCAGTGTTCCAGACCCAGCTGAGCTCAGCTGTTGCCGCTGCTAGTGCAGCCACAACCTCGTCACGGGACATGGTGTATGCATGTGTGCACAAGATCAGGAGTCGATACACTGGTCGAATTTCCCAGTTCAGGCTCCTGATTTGCTTATGGGCCGAAAAAGTGGCTTTTTCCGGCTAGATGCCGCGGACATGGTGGTCGTTACCAAACACCCACCCACACCTCTGTGCACGCGAAACGCGCCCTCTCTAAGCGAGGTCACTATCTAGAGACAGCTGCGGTTGAAACCCTATTGACTCTGTCGCTTCGACGGAATTTGCCATCAACATCTTGTATGAAGTTGATGATTTCAGTGTTGTGCGCATTAGGTGACTGAACAAGGAGGGGGGGTAAAGAGCGGTGGTAAACATGAGTCAAGGGGATGATCATGTGAAAAACGGCGGTGATAGACTTTGACCATACTGCCGGTGCATAGGTGCCCAAGGGGATGGAGACGAGTCCGCCATCGGTCTCCGCGGACGAACCCCTCAGCCACGTAACCGACACTATGGTATGACTCTCCGATCAACGTGAGAAAGCCACCAGTCGGTTATTTTGTTATCCTTGACAAAGACTTCCTTCTTTTACACATCAACGGCCTCGAGGCTTAGAGTTCCTCAGAGACGTCGTCACGAGCTGAGGAGCTGCAGGTCCTGCCGACCTACCAGTCTTTTTTCAAGAGAAAAGAAAAGAAAAACAAAGACGGGGAAAGTCGCAACACTTCTAGTCGCAACAATTTCGGCTATGCCGTTATGCACGTTCGAGAACGGCTACTTTGTTTTGCCGGTTACCATCCCGATGACTGCGAATGCGAACATGGCATGATGTTTGAGCGTTTTGTTGACAACAAAAGCATCTCGGCACATCCGAGTATCCATAATTGCTTCCTGCTCGCTTGGAAGCGCTGCCTAGTGCACGGGTACCTTGCATTCGTCTGCTGAGTAACGATATCGTATGATGATGTGTCCAGGTACTGGTAGATTAGTGCGTATCATGATTGTGGGAAAAGCCAGGGAGTGTTTTGGATGTCTTTTGGGGAGCGGTCGGGCGTAATGGGGAGATGATGGATTCGGCAATTTCTTGGGAGTAGAGTGATCAATGCAAGGCGTATTGCACAGGGCTGCTGTTGATAGATTGAATCAATCACGGGAATATAGAAGAACGGTGTCACTCAGAAACTTCAGTAGCGCATCTCAAGACTGTGTTTTTCAGTGAATGGACGATCAGTAGCCATGCGAAGATGTTTTGAGAGAATGCATGGAACTCGAGAATCACGGTGTTTTACATGCCATGGGATTCCTGGAGTCTGGTCCCCTAAAACCCTCGTAAACGTGGATGTAAACGACCCTGGGACCAGCGAGCGGGTCAGACCGCCGCTGGAAATGACATCGAGCAAGTTTCCTAAAAAGAAATTATGTAATGACGTGAAGATATGAGAAAACCTGGCTTGGTTACTGTTAGGGTGGGGGCTATTTACAATGCAGTGTACTTCTCGTGACCTGGTATAGACACAGATACCAGCGGTCATCAAGTATTACTTTTATGACCCGACTATTCGTTGAGGCTTTCTTTTCGATAAATACTGCTTCAAGAGTCGTTCGCAATATCAAGATCACTGTTGTTGTTTGCAGTTCATGTTGGCTTTTCTCACTAACCATAAATGCTTTAGTGCGCCTGAACTGAGGAACGACTCGTCATCCATTCCCTCAGCCCTCCTCTAACGCTTCATCACACTACGAGTCTACCCACACCCACGAAGAAAACCCTGTTTCTTGTAATCTAAAAGTTGGTGCTGAGAGTTTTGAGATGGAGTTCTCACACCATGGCTTCGATATTTGCGTCCGCTGACGTCAAACACTGTCTCAATTTCCTTAGGCCTACCAGTCTGTAACTGGCCTTCGTCAGTGACAGACTGATCTGGTAGTCGATCTCATGCAACTCTCATAACATCATCATTGTTCAGACTCCAATTCTGGAGAGATACGCTAACATAGCCCAAGAACCATATATCGAGTGGCAAGACATATGCTCTATACAGGAACCCAGTCTGCGATACTGAGGCTGCTACAACTGGTGGTTTTAACAGAACGGCACCGGAATACGATATTGAAGCCATTCTTTCTATCCAAGCAGGTTGACAGAATCGCCGCCATGTACTCTGTTCTCGAGTAGAAGATTCTCCCCAGGAAAATTAGATTTTACTGGGAATGCATGTGTGGCCAAAGCATTCATTGGCTCGTCTGAGAGACCCGAACAATGGGTCTGCGGTATCTTCCGTATTTTCTAAGTATGTTTATGTGGCTGACCTTGACAGACAACCATGAGTCATTTGCCCCTGAGGTCCCGCCTCAACTCGTTACTGTACATTTGCCGCGGTTGCCGCGCGCTGTCGCCACAACGAATTGCTTACAGCAAAACCTCCCTACTCAGCTTTTTCCACTAGGTAGTTGTGGCTGATTGCGACATGAGCGAACTACGGTTTCACCATGCTGCTGGGACGCGAAAGGCCCCGGCTTTGGCGCCGTGCTCGCGTAGGTATCGCGTTTTTCTGAGGCCGAACTGGCATATGTCTTTCGGTAAGCTTAGCCACCATTCCATCTCTATTAAGTTAGCCACTCTATTATTGCTCGTCACATGTATTCCCCGGATGAATTCATGGCGCTACGTGAGCGTCGTTCTGCACTGATTACCAATCGACAACATACTACACCGACATTTTGGAAGGCCTGATCCCAAAGAACCGCTTCTACCCCTCACGATAGCCATGACAGAAACTGGTGACTCAGGATAGCTATAACCGACCAGCTAGTATTCCGACTTCGGTGACATGTAAGGCCGTTTGAGGCTATTGAGGCCATCTAATATTTGACACAATCCCCAAAAACAGGTTGCCCCACTCCCGATGCCGTGTGCTCGATTGCGGCATTTTCTTGCCGATTGCTGGGAATACACAGTGTAGCGCGTGGCAGACTCAGGCCATGACAGTGGCGCTTATTACCGGCTGGTGTGGCTTGTCAAAGTCAAGCGGTAACAGTCAGCCGATAGGAAAATGAGTGCCGCCAAGCTGGGTACTCAAGTAGAGAGGAGCCTACTAGGAGACAAATACAAGTATCCACAAACCTTATTATAAAAAGGGACTGTTGTTGGGGCTGCCGTCCTCCCCAGGGGCTAACAAGTACTCGGTAATGCGGATCAGTGTTGATGCCCCAGCGTCAGATTCATGATGCCATTCGAATGCAACAAAACATTAAACCGATCTACCTAGGCCGCTTCGAGTATGAAAAGACGAAACATCAGAGAGTACCAATGGGTCACAAGGCTGACTCTCGGAACAAGCTGTCTATAGATTAGGCTCGGCATACGAATCAACTGGAGTAATTCTGCTACGGACTCTATAATCTAGCTAAATTACCCTCCTGAGACACTCCTGAATTCATGAGGATATGCAGGGGCTTGGGTTACCTCTCCATGTAAGTTTCGCTATAGTACCAGTTGGACTTACTGAAAATCTCGCAATTTCTATCAAGATCGAATATTATCGTCCAATCACAGTTAAACGCGCGCGCCAAGACGAAGATAGTTTCTTTGAAGAGTGTACACGTAGTTTGGACGGCCCGGAAGTGTGAACCTTGGTACGGTCGAGTCGGCCGCGACACGAACTCTGTGTGTTGGCTGCCTAAGTCAACAGGGCACGTGAATTAGCTAGATAGCCCCACCTTTTGCGGTACAATCGATCGGGCGAAACAGGTGTATTTTGGTGCTGAAATAGAGTAAATTGCTGCTAATTTAACGGCCTGTGGTTCTGTTCGGCCCACATAAGATGACTAACCAACTGGCTCAGTACGCAGTGGCTAAGACGATTGGCCCCGATCATTATGAAGATAACACGGCATAATCACTCGCACCGAGGATAATACTACGGCATAGGCACCTGACAGTACTATCCGCATGTTCCTGGCGCTACCTAAGGCTTCCAACACTGGGACACCATAGGCTCACGAGTGCCAGCACGGGCCGCGGAAGACGGGACTCTGCAGCACAGAAGCGAGGCAGGAGTTATGTTCTTGTCTCAATGCTACACGCTGTCCCGGGTCAGATCTGTGATGAACTCGGCAAGGAGCAGACCACTTGACTCAAGCGGTGTAAGAACACTGCGAGCCACAGCCATGGGGCAACCGTCATCGCAAGCCCGCGCTGTCACAACCCCACACCTGTCAGCTCATTCCAAGTTAAGATCAGCCCTCGGAGAGCCCGAAAAGTACCCCACAGCTATGACCTATCGTGCCTCGAAACAAAAGCCAGGCGGGTAGGGGTAAGCGACACCCGCATGGCCTATGCACGTGGATGCTGCCAGTATGAGCCAGGTTTAATGGGCACGTCAGCCGTAGGAAATCCAGATCCGCGGTTGATGGTCCCTCTCAAGTGGCCGCGGTAAGACAGGTTATTGGCGACAGAACCGTTGGACCGCAAAGCTAGCCTTTTTCGTCTGTCGAGGGACTTTGGTACACTGTCAACTCGAAGGACACACTAGGGGTATCATCATATTCATTTCAGCCTGATTGTGTACAAGGAGCTTGGGAGCTATGCATATGCACGCTATTACTCTGTATCTTGTTCCCAATCCCACACTGTCTTACGGTTAGAGTGGTTTACAGCCGCTTGAGGCAAGGCTAATATGCGAAAAGGTTGTTGAATTAGCGCACGCTTGCCTGCTTCCTCGAATGCACTCTCGCTAACCTACTGTGCACACCGTGAACGTACATCAGGATCATCGATCGGCACCGGGATTATATTCGCTTAGCATACTTACCGTGGAGGGAGATCGACACAAGTGGCTTAAGCGATGAGGGGATCTTGGGACTCGCCATCATGATGGTGCAATCATCATGGCATGACACGCAGGGACCGTCGGTGTGGCAGCGGTGCAGCTTCTCAGCAACGATGGTAAGCTGAGGTGATGCAATGCATTAGCTTCACGAGTGATATGACACTCGTTGGAAACGCGAGGCACTGTGGCTAAGGGTTTGAGGCGCGGACGTTTGGGGCGTAGCGAGTGGGTGTGGCCAGCACGTTGGGCAAAGAAATGTTCGTGGCAGGGAACTTCAGGCACCATTGCCTTACAAACGATGACGCTAAATGGCCTGATGCTCAGGTGATGCTGATGATGCTGATGGTAAACTACATCGAAGACCTTCTGCGATAAGTTGACCATATCTTTGGCCTACAGTCTTTGTGACACACTGGACGAAGACGGTCTCGCTGAGTAAGAGACGATTCCTTTCATCGTCTTACAACCGTTCAACAAAGTCACCTATCCGCCCTCGATTATTGCCACTATCAGACTGGCTGCTCGCCCCACTGCCCCAGATACCGGATCCAGACTGTTCACGAATCCCAATTTAGTCTCGCTTGGGAGGGAGGAAACGCCTATCTTTTTTGGCGAGAGCAGCGGAAGCTGCCTGCCTGTTCCCCCCTTCGCCCCCACTCTCCCCCCCCCCCTTCAACAGCCTGCCAGCCTACCAGCCTGGGGAGAGAGACAATATGTTTTTGCTTTTTCCCTTTGTTGGCAGCAATCGGGACCGCGCTAACAAGGCAAGGTGGGGACATTGACGTGCTTGGCTCCACTCACATCTCCCCTGTCTAGTGGTAGCGCAAAAAGGAATGAGAACCACGCGAAAGAGGCTTAGGTGTCGATCATACGGCTAGCAGACCACACCCGGGGGTGGTTGCTGTGGATCCTGGATTCCCTAGTGTACCTTGCAGTTGCCAGAAGCCGTATCTTTTCTTCTTTTTCGCTGGGTATGGGTGTTTCCTTTTACGCGTGTTCGTTTGGGTGGAGGGCTTACCCTGAGTTACGTGCAGGTGGTGCGGTACCTTTGTCGCGAAAGATTATTTTCAGGGGCCGGGGGGTGTGGGTGCGGGTGAAGGGGGGTAGGGTCCTTTCAGGCTGACGATCAATTTTTTTATATAGGAGTGTGAATTCCCGCGGAACTGAACATCATCACAGCTACAAGTACAACTACAGCCACAACTTCAAAAGCCTACCTTTCTCTACACTCGACTCGACACAACCTCCACACAAACACATCCCACATACCTACCAACTCTTTTGTACAATACAATAGAGTCATACTTCAACAACACCAACAACAACTACAATCAATCCCATCTCATCTACACTTGAGATCACCAAGCACTACCACTACTCCTCGTAGTACCTTCCAACCAACAACCAACAACCACAACCATATCACCAACCACCAACCCTCCACCTTCCAAAATGGCTCCCCGACCATGGACTGTCCTCCCTCCCTGCCCAGGCCCCCCACCAACCCGACCCCTCCCACCAATCCCCACTCAATAAACGAACCAATCCAACTATGCGCATTGAAACAACAACCGCGCCCGGGGAGGGGGAAGGTCAAACGATACAAGTCAAAAGGCCAAATCAGATGAACACAAAGGGGACTTTAAACTCTAAACTTTCAACAACAACAACGATGATGAGATGATGTTTCTCTTTTTTTTTGAAATTATTTTTGCGAATATACCAGTAGCTGCTATGCTACAACTACGCGCTTTTGTTAGGGTTTAATTCGATTCTTGGGGGTTTGAGGAAACCACGAGGGAGGAAAGTGGGAGAGACTTGATTATCATTCTTAATCTAGGGAATTTTGTTCTTCAAAGTCCGACCTTTTATTGTGGGGGAGAGAGAGAGAGTACGAATGATTGGAGAGTTTTTTTTTCGAAGGGAAGAGAGAGTGGTGCAGATGAATTGTTTTGGTTTTTTTTCTCTTAATTTTGATACGAGTTCAATCAACTATCAATCTTGTTCAAACATTCATACTTCTTCTACCCTTTGGATTTGTGAAAAGTGAGGCTAATGACCTTGGTAACACACATAGTACAATTGTAATAATAAGCATATGTACATTATATGCATGGTGACAGAAGAAATGTGCAGTGCAAAAAAAGGGGTCTTGTTCATGCATCGTCAGGGATGGTACCCGTTACACCATCTTTCATCCCACCCACTTCGTGTTCGCCAACTTAGCACAGGGATGACATACCCTTCTTCAAGCGAACTCGCTACTTGCCACCGGCAAACACAAGGCCATTGTCATGCCTGACCTTGTGCATGATGGCTAGCGTGTCCCTTGAGTGCTTCTCCAATCGGCTCAATTCCACATGGTCCTTTTCTTCGATACACCTTGCGAATTCCCTCGCTTCTTCAATCAGATTGAGCTTTTCGGGCGTCTTGACACCAGGGATATCCTCTCTTGTCTTCTTCTTCGGATCCCACAGCGTAACCTTGTTGATGTCGGTGATAGTCGGTACAATAAGTGTACCCTTTTCTCCGTAAATCTCAGATGGCGCGTCAGAGTTGTAAATCTTGGAGTGGCAGAGATGTACGGTAAAGTTGGGGTACGTCAGGATCAGACGGCCGGCGCCATCCGCTCCCGTAGCAATCTTGACAGGCCAGTACTGCGAGTCGAGGGGGGCACCGAAGAGATCAACGGCGGCGGCGACGCAGTATACGCCAAGGTCGACTAATGCACCACCGCCCATCTCGAGGTTGAAGATGTTGGGAACCTCGCCCTGCAGAACCTTTTCGTACCGGCTGCTGTACTGGGCAAAATTGATTGAGGCGCCATACAGCGGGCCTATGTCGGCAATCTTTTGCTTCAGTAGCTTGAAATTTGCTTCTTGAATGTGGCGGAACGCCTCGACAAGGATGACGTTGTTTTCTTTTGCAAGCGAAAAGAGATGGTCGAGTTCGGAAACAGTGCTACAGCTTGGCTTCTCTAGGATGACATTCTTTCCCGAGGTAAGGAACAGCTTGGCTTGCTCGTAGTGCAAAATGTTGGGGCTGGCAATGTAGATGGTGTCGATCTTGTCACCGCTGGCAAGGGCATTGAGGTCCGTGTAGCAGGTAATGTTGTTGACGGTATATTTAGATGCAAACTCCTTTGCAGTCTCTTCTTTTCGTGAGTAGACGGCTGTGAGGCTGTATTTGCCAGTTGCGTGGGCGGCCTCGACAAATGAGTGGGTGATCCAGTTTGTTCCAATGATTCCAAGGTTGATCATTTTGGCGGCTGTGATGTGAGTGTAGATGTAGCAGAGTAACAATGAGCCCAGACGAGAAAAATATATAGGCGACTTCAGTGATATGTCAGCACGCAAGACTTTTCTGTTGGGTGGGTTGGTGTTTGAGGGGCAGTCGTGTCCGAGTGACCCCACTAGGTAGCTGGATGTGATGTGATGTCATTGGCCGACTGTTGTAGTTTCCCAAAGCGGAAGTACTAGCTTGTAGAAAAGCGTACTTGTGCACACGATGAGATGCATAATTGCTAACAGTGATTTGTGATAATGTATTGTTATTACTAAGGCGTGCTTCACATGGGTCGAGTTGACTAATACTCTCGATTTCTTCATGTGTAAAACCAGAGCTCCTACCAAGGAGGGTATCATCTGCTGACAGTTGTCTCGTATCGTGGAAACATGTCATGCTATATATGTGTGAGACCAAATTCGCAACCCTATCCCATTCGATGAAACGAGACTCATGGGACGTTGGGCGATCGTAATGTAAAAAAACAAGGAAGAAAAGACGCGGATCTGTCCGCTACCACATGGGCGATAAAAAAACCAAAAAAAACCACAGCAGAACAAAACACCAAAACTCCACGCGCTGACAAATGAGTGCTTTGAAAATGCAATAATGCTTGCAGTAACGCCAGGTAACCCTTGTTGATATGCTGCTTTCATGATTAGTCCTCCCAAATAGTCTCGAGGTCCAAGTCTCCTCGTCGTTCGGCTCCGCAGACACTCCACCTCTTTCTAGAATCTCGCTTGCCAAAGCCCATGCTGCTACGCCCACGACCTTCAGGGCCGTCCAGGCTAGACCTCCTTGCATCTCCACCGTCCTCACGATCGGCGGCGGCCTTTAATTTTGCGATGCGGTCAGCCTCGATTGCTTCTTCCTCGGCATCTGGACTGTCCTCGATGGTTTCGAGAGACGAGATGGAGGGACTGCGGGAGCGCATCGACGTGGGGGTGGAAGGGACAGACGAAGATGCAAGTGAGGCAGGGTAGTTCTCGTTGAACTTTGCTGGAGCAAAGAGAGGCGAAGAGGCAGTCGAGGTGGGTGTGCTAGCAAAAGGATTGCTGGTAGGCGGGTGGCCAAAGGGAATGGAGACGTGGTAGAGGGGCGAGACTGGACGTCGTCGCCGGGAGAGCGAAGGGGTGTTGCTGTAGAGGTTGGAGACGGTGGTGCCGACTCTGGGCTTGAGCTCGAGCTCTGCGTCTTCGGAGATGTCGCAGACGCTTGGGGCGCCATCAAAGGAGCCCATGGAGACTGGACGAGTGGCGAGTGGGCGGGAGTCGAGCGCGCGGGGGCTGCGCGTTCGCTTTGGCGAGGGCAGAGGGGACGTGGGCCTGGCGAGCTGTACTGGGCTGGAGGAAAGCACAAAGTTGGAGGCGGGTTGCATGACAGTCGGTAGCGAGTGGGCTCGTGCCATGGGTATGGCCGATCCGCTGCGCGAGCGGAGGTGAGAGCGCGCATAGAACAGTGTGCTCGGTTGATGCGTCGAGAGGGAAGCGATGGTGTCTGGCTGAGGGTCCGTTTGCGAGCGGGGAGTCGAGGGGCGGCGTGAGGTCATGGTGGAGTCGGAGGTGTTTGCAAGCTGGCGTGGCATGGTGGTGCTTTCTCCCATGGTGGATGGCGTGTCGTCGAGTATAGGGCGTGGTTGGAGGGCCGAGGATGGGGCGGTTGGGTTGGTTGGAAGAGTGGTGGTGGTGGTGGTGGTGGTGGTGTCGGTGGTAGCAGCAGCAGGGAGAGAGCAGAGAGGGAGAGCTACAGGGCCGTCGTGAGGATGGTGGTTGGCATCAGGCGGGGGCGAGGGGAGATTTGGGGCAGTCATGGCGGCGGTCTGCGCGTATACATAGTCTTGGTAGTCTCGCGAAGCCTTTGGCACGCGGCGACGGCGAAACTAAGAAGCGCAGGGGGTAGTGCAGTGCTCGTGTCGTTCTGGGCCGTGTGCCAACCGCCCGACGCACAATGCACCTTTGGGCGTTTCAGCCGGCGGGAATTGACTGCGTTGACACGAGCGCAGGACGGACGATGCCGAGTTGTTTGATGCGAAAGCGGTCACATGCGCGGGCGAGACTGGTAGGCGGAGATGGGTAATGTCGTGGAGCTGAGGACGTCGGAGCAGTGTGCGAGGAGGAGCGTCGCGATACCGTGGGCGGCTGCGATGGGCGGAGAGGCCGGCTAAGCGGTGGTACCTGCCGCCGGCACCGCCGCTATCGAATCTGGGGCAGGTAGGCTGCGAGCAAGCAACTACCCGACGCCCTCATGCATGCACCCTCACTCACTTACTCACATATATTGCATCCACTGCACAGCCTCATTGCATATAGCCCCCCTCAAGACACCATCTCCCGGCAATCTGCTGGCATCAAACAAAAGCCCTCGTGGGTGTGTGAGTGCAGCCGCCATGGTGATCCCTGGCCAGTCCAAAGACGGGCGCCTTCCCAGGCTAGACAGACCCTGAATGGGTGCCTGCATTCGACCTAGCCCAACGTCTTCGGCAGGCCGCGACAGCCCAATCACGCCCCCGACCACCGCCAATCCCGGCATGCTCGTGGACGCATCCAGTATGGAACTTCGTATGGACTTGTCTGTATACGTATGTACCTACATATGGACATTGTACTCACATGTGCACATGCGAATGTATCCACTCCACCATTGGCCCTGATCACACCTCGATTGTAGCAGTGCCGAGGTCTGGGGCTATGACTGCAACAACAGCAACAACAACAACAACAACAATAACAACAACAAAATCAACCACCACACCCTCTGATGACGGAGCTAATACCTCCGCTACACCGGTGAAGCTCCATGTAAACAGTGCACGGCCCTCGCTTTTTTTCCTTCTCACAC